GAGGGTGTATATATAATGCCCATGCTCTGCGCGCTCTGTGCGCTCTGTGCGCCCTGCACCAACAGGGCCAGCAGGGCCTACAGAGCCAACAGGGCATACCACGTGACTCAGCCTTGTTCTCCTATGGATCCCCCCACGTGCCCAACGAGTGTGATGAGTCGTGCTCGTGCGGCTCGTGACCGGTCTCCTTCAAGGCTGTGTCCAACATTCAGCCAGTATGAGGGGGATCTATTAACTCTGGTACAGAATCAATGATTACTCCGCTCCGATATACATCAACTATTTAGTTTATATGATACATATCTCGATTACTCCGGACGATAACTACAAAGTTATAGCCTTTACGCCTACGGAGAGAAATATTAAAGATAATTATCTTCACCGAGAGTTATTCACTCGCTATGATACAACCCATTAATAACCTTCTACGATGACACTTCAGACAGGTAGTCTTAGCGAATATGAGGGGTGCTGGTGAGCCGCAGTTCGAACACGACTTCCCGCCTAGTTCTGATATGGTTGGTGATATACTTCGGGGGTCCGAAGGCAGGTGAAAGAATGCAATATGAGCTGTTCAGCCATCTCGGTGCTCAAATGGAGTTGTTTCCGTCGGCAGTTGGCGTCAGTAGGGTGATGGAGGAGGGGGAAGAAGGGGGAAGACCACCAATGTAATGCATACAAGTTTAGTTTTGTACAGTGTACCATCCTTCGGAGGACGAAGAATACCAGGTACATACGTAGAATTCAAGATTTGATGGCCAGGATTCGCCGAATGGCCGCAGGGACTGGAGGAGGAGTACTGTAGCGAGAGAGCCGCGAGAGAGGGACAAAACCCCCCTTGCCCAACAATGCCTGGTTCTCGGTGCCTGTCAGAACTACCTTCGGTCTCTCTCACACCGGTTCAGGGTTGATACGTCTGACGCGGAGCATTGTCCTCTAGTTTGACTTTCTGAGCTTCAACGGATCCTTCGCCACCATGCAAACCACATCCTTCCAGGTCAACTATGCCTCATGAAGGCAAGGGCGGAAAGTTCCCTGCTCGGAAGAGTTGGACGAAACACGTGGCTTTCAAATCCTGCCGGTTGAATAGGCCTGTCGACGATCGTTTGCTCCTGGTCTGAGTTTGCATGCCCAAAAGCCACGTCCCGACCGCGTCACTGCCCTGGAGCTTAGGCTGGTGAGGCTGGATGGCCACATCTCGTCTGCGGAGAGCGGTTCAACCTGTTTGCACAATGGATCCGGTGGAGCGGTGGAGCGGTGGAGCGGTGGAGCGAAGCAATCAGACGGTTCCGAACGAGCCTCAGGACAATTGGCGACAGCAAACACAGATCCATGAATGCGCCAGTCTGCATCGTCCACCCTCCCCATCGAACATGTCACAACCTGGGCGTATTTTCAAATGTGACGGAGCAAACGGGAGACGGCAGAGCATGGACGACGTTCTTCGGAAAGGCAAAAATGGGAACAAAAAAAGGCCCCTGTCCAACTGTTCGACCATTGGCCTGATCATTGAATTTTCATGTCCGATCCTCTTCAGCTAAAGCCCATAGGTACATATCGGCCAAACACGTGTAAACAGACTGGCTCAGGATTTTGTAGGCAGGACGCCACATCCTCAATCATATATCTCTTATCATAATAACAGATATCCCAAGCAGATGAAACTTGATCGGCACTTGGGGTCATCACCGAAACACCTCAGGCCGAATTTATTCTCTTCCGCCCTTCGTTCTCACTTCCGCGTAGAAACGTGACAACAGACGGTCCAGGAAAAGGCACGAGGAGTCGGCTGAAGTTTGTACGGTGCCTCTCTGGCGGCCATTGCTCAAATTCCCTCGTCAGATTCGCGTCTCTCCTTCACCGATGCTTACCTCTTAAACAGCCCGAGTACATCCTCCTTCCTCCAGTCAATCTCCAAACTTCCATCGTAAACTCTCTCCACGATGATCTTCATCCGATCATAGGCGTGAGCGTACCTAACTGCACACTCCTCAAACACCCTTCCTATCAAATCCTTCTTTCCTGGTCTCTCCGACGCTGCCGAAGAATCATCCCCGTCTGCAAAGTGCTTCTCGATCCTCTTCTTCAACGTCTCCACTCCCTTCCTAACCTCCTTTGCGTCATAGCCCCCTAGAATCTTCTTGGCCGCACTGCGTGAGTGGGACGGCTTATTCGCGATGGACGTGGATGACGGGTCGCTCGCCTTCATAAGGGCTTCGGTGCTTTCCAGGAAATCAAGCCACTTCCCCAGTGGCCGTCGGATCACAGCATCCGTATACTGTGCCAAGTGGGCTAATTGATCGCGCGAGGCTCGCTCAACCCATTCTTCGAGAACCACATTGTTATGCGTTTTCACTTCCTCGGCGAAATAATTCATATTCTCGATCAAGAGAATATGGTGATTCAACGCCTCTTTATCTTCTGGATCGCCGCTCAATGGTGCGTTCGAGTGTGCTGTCGCTGCCCCGCTAGAAGAATCTCCCACCGGATTGTCTTTGGCGATGAAATTGAGCGATTCCCACGTGGCTTTCAGAAGTTTGGTGTACGCGTCATTGACGATGAAGCGCACTTCGAGTGACTCTTGGTGGGCGAATTCCTGCGGAATCATGTCTTCGACCACGGTTATGAAGTCCGGGAAGATCCTCATAAACGAAATCAGCCCTTTCCTCTTTTTTACTTTCACCTTGGTTTCCTCTATCGCCTTGACTTGTTCTTCAACGAATTTGTGGAAAAGACCGGTCAATCTGTCGTGAAGGGTCCTTACCGTCCGAGTGATGAATTCTTGATTCGTTTCTTCATACTTCGACAAGCACTGTTCGAGAGACACCAAGACGCCCACGCCCTGTAATTGATCCATCTTGAAAACCCATTCCACCAACGCTTGGAGGTCCGCGGGCCAGAATGAGTAGATCCCTTCGGTGGTACTCTGCACGATCTTGGCCATATTACGATCCGGATCGAAAGGCTGTTTCGCCTGCAAATTGGGAAGCTTGCGCTGTTCAGGCGGCCGAGATTGTACTAGCTCCGCAAAATTTTCATTCGACTGCGAGTTCAGATGGAAGAAATGGACGACGAAATTCTGTTCTTCCGAAATAGCTGTGGCCTGTTGCTCAAGCACGGCGTCAAATACAGCCCAGGCGTCGGTTTTGCCGTCCCGTCTTTCGCTAATTGAATGTCTCGTGGCATGAGTCTTGACTGCCCTGCTACGTTTGACCGTAAGCTTGCGGGCTGCTGTTGAAAGATTGGACTCCTCTGCCTTCTCCTTGTCTTGGTGCGTGAAAAGGATTTCTTGCTCCTCTCCCATGGGGTGCCTGGCTGTCCTCCTAAGACTCATGGTGAAGTCTCGGAACTGCTCCTGGTAGATACTCTTGACATTGATTTCGTAGCTGCCGATCAATGTATGCCATTCGTACTGATTGACCTCCCGTACGAAAAGCATCATGACATTGTAGACCCAAAGCTCTTGTCGGGAAGCATTATAAGCCCGCAGGTTGAGCGTGAGGGAGGAGGTCCCAGAAGAAATGCTAACGCTAGCATTTTCCTCACTTGTTCGCTGCTCGGCTAACTGGAACATGGCCTTCATGTGCTGATTGAAGCGGTTGACGAACATCATACTTTCGTGCTTGTATTCCTCTTTCTTCTCGCGCACCGCTCGCATCTTGGTGAGGTCCGCTTCGGCATTCGTTCCCAGTCCGGTGCGGTTGTTCGCAGTAGCGTGACGAAGTTTGTTCTCGCGCAAATCTGGATCGATAATCACCATTGCGCTGTAGAGCAAAGTCAATGCGTGCTCGACTTCTTGAACGTCCTTAAAGTTGTCGATAGGCGTAAGCTGCAAAGCGCGAAGATCTGATGGGGATATTGTCAACATTTTCAGGAGGTTTTGCAACTCAGCCTGCAGCAACTTCTGATTGGCAGTCTGCACTTGCAATCCTTGTCCTTGAGCCTCGATGTATTCGATATCTTCGTGGAGAGTATCGAGTTCATGCGCATAGAGCGTCAACAGCCCGTCAAGCTCTTCACATTCGGCGATGGCCTTTTCGAATGCTTTTCCGAGCTCCTGCACCTTGATCTCTTGGTGTTCGACGTGGCCGAGCCAGCCACTGGCCTGGGCCCGGCCAATCTCCCTTCGAATGTCGGTCTCGAAATTCTCCAGAATCTGGTCACTCGCAAGCCTGCCATCCCATGCAAATTCTGTCAAAAGTTCATTCAAATCTGCTCCGCGGCTCTCGGTGATCCGCGGATCAATCCCTAAAGCTGTGCAGTGCTTTTCTACTTCTGCTTCTAGCTTTTGCCGACGTTTTCTTTGTGGCGAAGCTGACCGGCCCTTATCCGGCGACTCTGCTCTTGTTTCTTCCTTTGGTCCCTCAGGCTCGACAGGGATAAACCTCGTCGTAGGCGTTTCTGACTTAGAGACGCTGTCTGAGGTCGCCGTACGCTCAATCTGAACTCGCGGTACAGCATCACCCGGCCCAAGTTTGGTCTTAGGCTGATCTTTCTCTACTTCCGTAGTGGCAAGATCAGAGGTTGCGCTCTTCGCATCGTCCGAGCTCATACCTCTCTTCAGTGGAGCTGGGACCACACTGGTGATGCCATCCGGCTCGTTGGAGAGTTTCTCCTGCATGGCCTTCAAGCGCGCACCGGCACCGCCTTGACGGGGTTGGAATGCGCCAGCGGCAAGAGCAGCCTTTCGAAATTGAGTCGCGATGTCCTTCCCGGATCTCTTCTTGATCATGGGACCAAGGCCGGGGCGATGTTCCTCTTCAACCTTCGGAGGGGCCGGAGGCTCCAGTGGCTCTGGAGCCACAGACTCGTTTGCAGTCTTCAGAGCTTCGGGCTCTGACGTCGTCACTTCGTTGTACACGGCCTTCGGTGGTACAAGGTCGTTTGCTTGTGGCTGCTTCTTCTCCGCCGCGGCCTTGTCGTTCACGAAGTAATCCGGTTTTCGCTGCAATTGCTCCTCTTTGATGGCAGTCGGTGTCCCTAACGGAGTTACAAACGCACTGTTATTCTGACTCGGAGGAGCCGGTTGTTCGGATTTGAGGTCAGTTGTAGCGGTGGCTGGCTTCTTCCGCTCAGGGAAGAGTTCAAAGTCGAGAGCTGGGAGACTGGGAGGCGGTTCAGGCGTCCTGCGATCGCTCGCTGCCGTGCTCGGCCTCGAATTGCTTAATGGTTCGCCGCGACCGGCATCTCTCATTGAATCTTGACCCATCATAGGCCCCGGTCTTTTCGCCGCAAAGTCTTGACCACCGGCCTTTGCGACGCCGGGGCCATTGGGTCTCAGAGGCGGTGGCTCAAGTGCAGGATCGGGTCGCTGGAGTGACGATTGAGAGCCTTTTGGACTGATGGATGGTCGCAGCGGTGCCGGTTGTAGGCTATCGGACAGCGACGGCGTACGAGCTTCGTCACGCCTTATCTGAACGCCATAAGGCTGTGTGCGAGGGCTATCTTGCACCAGAGGGCCCCGGTTTGGTCTAGGCGGTAAGCCTAAAGGCCGCTCTTCAGCCTGAGAGGGTGGTCGCGCCATCTCTCTCGTCGGGGGACGATATTCTTGCCGGCTGACTGCTCTATTTTGGTCTTGTAGCTCCGTTCGATTGCCATCTCGGCTCGGGGGAGGCTGAACAACATACGGAGACTGTGGCCGGTTCGTGCTGAGAGCTGGCACGGCAGCTGGATGGCTCGGAGCTAGAGCAGGCGGGGGAGTTGGGGATGGGACGATCGGGGAGAAATTGGTTCTGGAAGTAGGAGTGTTCTGAGTCGATGGTACACCAGTGATTTGTTGTAGTTCCTGCGGAGCAAAGCCTATGAGATCCGGAAGCTTTCCACCGGTGTACTTGCGGTATATCTTGATCAAACTGGCAATGAAGAAATCCTTCTCTTTCGGTGTAGGGGCAGACCAGAAATAGGGCTTGCCCAGAGACACGGTGAAGCCCGTATTGGATGCCCACTGCTTCTCCATCTGCTGCTGGGGGTTCGCGGGCACGAGGGCCGTGTATGAAATGATGGCGGTCAACTCGTCGAGATTCCATGTCTTGCCGATGGAGAAAGATCCATTAGAGTTCTCGCGGGCCTTGTGGACTCTGACCTTGCCGGAGCGGCGGACGGCGACGAGGATGACCCTGTGCTTCTTGTTGGAGTGAGGAGAGTCCGGAGGAGGAGGGGAGGAGGGATATGAGGCATCTTCGAGCACTCGGACGTGGGTGATATATGACTCGAGTTGCATCCCCTCGGGATCTCGCTTGCTGAAGCAGGCGTCGATGATGCGCCTCTTCTCATCTTCGAATCGCGCGGCGCGAGACTGGTTGGTATCCTGCTGGTCGGGCTGCCTCGTATGAGGCCTGGGCTGGGAGAAGTTGTGGTCGCCATTAGAAACGGGCGCAGGCTGTCGAGGCCCGGTGTTGAGAGGTTGTGGTGGTTGCTGATTCATCGTTGAGAGAGTGCGAGGTTAACAACATCATCTTCCAGAGGCGGGGAATAGGGAGGACGAGGGAGACAGATGATTCATGGCTGTTTTAAAGGTACAAATGGAAGAACACAGCCTGCCCACGGTTTGTCGTCCACAAACGAAGTTTAGGTCCTCATCCAGACGTCGAGACGTGTACGTACTCTGTACCAAAAGACGTGAGTGTAGAACTGCGCATGGCTTTGGCGAGCACGGAGAGCAGCCAGCCGAAAGCCTAAAACGAGAGTCGGGCACCCAAGCCGTAGGCCTGGCCTGGTAGGTCAAGGTAGGGCTAGGGGGGCTTAGGAGCTTAGTGGTTCGGTGATCACGGCCGCTGTTGCAGGTGGCATTTCCACTTGTGGGCCCCTCCTACACTGCCTCCCTACTTGGTACAACACTTGACCACAGCTCGGTGCCAAAGGACTCAGTAGGTATTCTATCTACCTTTTCCCCCTTTCCACCTCCCTTGTGCCGCGTACAGAGTGTCGAGTACTTGTTGGGGGTGTATAGAAGCCCCTCTACAATCAGTAGGCAACTTCAAAAGATGGGTATTGTCTTTTCTTCTCCTTGTCTCAACCATCCCAATCCAATTTGTCACTTAGATCGCCCACAGTTAGTTGTAACTTGAACCCGAATCCCTTCCGCTGTCCCATCTCTTCCATTCCTCCACAGTATCTCGCCACATCCATCTCAAAATACGATAGATACAGCAATTCAGAATGCCCAGCCAAACACATCTCTTCCCATTCTGGACACAGACAATGACGGATGAGATGGTCCACCTTGCCCGTACAAGAATCCGTTTCCCCTTCCGAATGGCGCCAGGCTGAAATGGATGTAGTACAAACACAGAGGATCGTGGTCATAAGTTACCGCAAGAGATGGCTTTGCTGTTTGCGCCCTGAACTCAGCCCAATCCAAACATGTCCCTATTCAATGCTTCGAAAATATAGCGGTTCGCCACTTGTGCTCCTTACTTCCCAAATAATCTTTCACTGTTCTCCACCATCCACATCACCGCCTCATTTTTCATCTTAGTGTCGCTAAGCTCACGGCTCAGACTCTCTGGTCGCATGATGGTCGGTGCAAACACTACGGCGATGTTCATGCTTGTCATGAGATTCTCTCTCTCTAGTTGAACCACCCGTGCGAGGTGTCGAATCAAAAACTCTAGAGTCTCAAGGTGAACCCTGGGCAGTTCCTCTAACGCTCGTTGCATTGCGTCCACTCTCGTCCCTTTGTCCTCAATCGTCGTTGTATCAAGCAATTTATCGTAGACATCAAAGGTGATGAGTGGGGTGGGGAGCCGTCGGAAATACTGTTTCAGCCCAGAAGTAACGGCGTGGATGTCGAGGTCGGGATCGGAAAGATCAAATTCCTTTGATGGGTTCTCGAACCAGTCTTTGACTTGCTGGACCTGCGAGTTGCCTCCGGATTTTCGGTAGATGCCTTCAACATCCATGCCTGATGAGGTCAGCGTCGCTGGGGGAAATGCTTTTGGACAGGACTCACCACGTGACTCTACTTCTCCAACACACCTCCTCACAATCATAGGGACAGTGGTCTTCTCATATTCGGCCCGTTGCTCGAGCTCGGAGCCAAACAACTCTGTTTTCACCATTAGCGGGAAGAGGGCTGAATCAGTGGGCAGGTCCTTACGTGCGCCAGCTTCTGCCAGCAAAGACGGTGTGCTCGCATTAGCTTGGGCGGCGTACAGACCGTTGGACTTGGGCGCCACTTTCTGAGTGCTGAAGAAACCAAAGCCACTTTGTTTGACAGGTTCCGGTTTGGTCTTCGGCAGACCTGAGTATTCTTGACCAGCGCCAGTTGTTGACCCATAAGCCCCTGTCTCTGCAAATTGTAGGTCTCGGCTGTAGTTCTGTTGAGTTGATGAGAATGCCCCTTTCAGACCTTTCGTGACCCCCTTGGCCACCTTCTGTCCTTTTCTCCAATCAAACTTCCTTGGTTGGCCTTTGCGTATGTCCACCATTTGAGGACCTTGGATGACGGTCACAGGCTCCGCTTCACCTTGTAGAGTGCTTGCAGAATCGATATTGGTCAAGTCGGTAGACATGTTGCGTATCTCCCTCGAATCAAAAGAGACGTTTGACTTCTCTTTGTGGTGAGAATAGATTCCAAGTCCATTCATGGCCGACTTTTGCTGATCCGCTTGCGCCCCCGAATTGGCCTTATACAAGCCTTGGATCTGGTGCACCAACTGATTGTTAAGCTCAGCCAGCTGGGCATTCTTCGAAGACAGCTGTTCAAACTCCATAAAGCTCTTATCTTTCATTTGAGTGAGATTGGCTATCTCATCCACCAGATCATTTCGTTTCTGGATTGAAGCCTCGATCTGAGGCCCGAACGAGTCCTTTAGCTTTTCCAATGCCTCTGCAAATTCGCGAAGCACAACGTTGCTCAGTCTGCCAAGGTCGAACGGCTCCCCGCTGTGCTTGGCAGCAGCCAGGTGCTCCGTCAGGACCTCCAACTCTCTTATGACAATCTCTTTTTGTGTATCGAGCACAACTATTGTTGATCTTTTCTCCTTGAGCTCGACGTTTACCTGCTTGATATTTGCGGCCGAGTCAAGTTGCATTTCCAATTCGGCTATTCTCTTCTCCCGCTCAATAATCTTTTGCCGCTCACGTCGAAGCTCATTCTTGAACCAGGCGAGTTCATCGCGATTTTCCGGTGAGGCGGTGCTAGGACTGCTGATTTCCTGGCCAATCGACGAGATGGGCATGGCAGGCGATCGAGGCCAGCGGTCCTTGGAAAGCCGTCCGGTTTTGTCACTGTAGCTACGACCGTGACGAACAGAATTCGAAACCCTCCTAAGGAATGATTCATGCGCGCTGGGCTCTTCTCCACCCATGATCCGGGCCATATCCTCGTCCATAGTGAATTCTCCGCCCGTTGAATATCGAGGTAGACCTGGAGACTTGAAGCCATCCACATATCTTGGATTCTCGGACTGGAGGGTACTGAAGGATTCGTTTCTCGACCTTGAGTGATCGGAAGGTGGTAAAGGAGGTATGCGCGGGTCCACGAAAGATTCGTTACCCGTCTTGGTGACATTCTGAAGATCTTGAATCAGAGAATCATCTCCCGTATCGCAGATACTTTTTGAGTTCGGTGAACTTATAGGACCGGAAATGACCTTTCCACCATTTGCTTTGGCGAGATCGGCTGGCGCTTTGGGAGTGGACGAGCTGCTGTTGGCCAGGCTTCCGCCAGACGGAGGCCCAATATTTGCCGCAGCGGCCAGTTCTTTCCTAGGTATCGCTGGATTCCGCTTCGCGCTATCCAAAGAGTCGCCTCGCTTGGGGAGGTTTTGTAAGATCGATGTCGCGGGCAATTGTGCCGGCTTGGGAGATTCATGTGGGCCACTATAAGCTGGACTTGAATCGTTCGACAGCCGGGGCGTCGAGTAGTCGCGGTCTGAGGGTGACCCAATGTCCGGGACATTCAATGTTTTGGCGGCAAGCTGCTCCAATGGATCTGTAGGGACATCGGCTCTGGGGGTTGAATCCTCTGAACGTGAGCTCGGTGTCGATGCAGAGAACTTCTTGGATTTAGGTGCTTCTTGAAGTTTGAATCTTTCGTTGTGTTGTGCTTCGTTGGAGTGAACAATCTGCGATAAACGAGGTGAACCTTCTGAATTCTTGGGCCGCTCTAACGGGATGTAGGGCGATACTGTGGCAGAGCCAGATATGCTCAGATTTGCTCCTCGGCGGCTTTGCTCAACCGCTTCTCTTGAAGGTAGACGGCCCTTCTCTTGGTAGGCGATATGGGGACTTGATGTATTGGATTTGGCAACTTGCGACTGGGGTATTGGAGCGGTGGATTTGCTAGTGAAATAGTCGGTAGGCTTCTCTTCGACGGATTTCTGAAGCATTTGGTTCGAAATGCTAGGGGACTGCGTCGCAGGTTGCGGGGTAGGGTCAAAGGCAAGTGGTATCAAGAATTCTTCGCCTCCGCCTGATAGATCTGATCGCTGCGACATCATTGAATGTCGATTATTGCGGAAGGTGGTTGAAGGTAACGTGAGCATATCTAGAAATAGACCAGGATTAGCATGCGAGCCGCCAGGCTTGGAGATGAGCTTCTTACCACGCGCATGGTTCTGATCCGATGTGGATGGCCTCGAGTCCGAGTCTGCTTGCAATTCGCTGACCGTCTTACTCACAGAGGGGACATCTGATGCAGGGGGTTCTGCGTAAACCTCGGGAAAGGGAGACGACTGGTTTTCCGGGATGTAGGCAGTCTTCCTGGCCTCTGGGGGCGGAATTGCAGGCAACGACTTGTCAAGCTGGACGTTGTTTGACACTTTGGAGCGCTGTGCGGTGTTCTTAGCGGTCTTTTTGCGTCTCCTGGCCATAAGAGCCTCGTGACAGTCCATGCAGAATATGCCCTGCGACGTCCTGGCATAACGTAGATTTTCGATCTTCCTCTTGCAGTTTCTGCATTTGAAGCAATTGGCGCAAAAGGCCTGATCTCCGGTGAGAATTGCCAGGTCCTCAATCTTGTCTCCGCAATTGCTACAACTGTAGGTGCAATTGTTGCATATCAAAGATCCGTCGCCCAGGAGAAGCAGATTTGCGTCAGAATCAAGGAGGGTACCGCAAGTATTGCACGCAAAGCAGTGAATGTGCCATCTATTACCAGCTTGAGGATGTCAGTCACGAAGTTGTTCCCACGAAAAGGGGCATTGCCATGTTACCGAGCTCGAATGCTTTGCCTTCCTCGAGTATCTGTTTTCTCTCTCGTCAGTTGTTTGTCTGGGAGTAGACTTGGAGAACTCTCACCTTTCCACAACCCTTACAAGGATAGGCGGCATCATCTGGGTCCATGGGGGAGTCGGGAAAGGCCACAGGGGATTCCATCGCGGTGGCCATTATGTCCTCTGATCTCGGTATTTACTGCAGATTGTCGACATATGGCGGGTTTACGTCCACATGAGATCGCTGGTTCAGAGTGACAGGATGAATGTATAGCATTAATAATCCCACTTTTTGGCTGCGAACAAAGCTCAAACACGGTCAAGTCCTATACATTGTACAATTGGCGGAATTATTTTATTCTTCTGATTGATGGGCAAAGGTCGTGTGCTGACCTGCAGCTGCAACACTGATTCGGCCAAACCAGAGGGACAATCGACGTTTGTGCCGTGGCGGAGGGTCGGTGTATGGTCTTTCTTTTGCGTTGGTGGCCAATAAGCCAACGAGAGTAGTTGGGAACTTCGAAGATCAAGGTGAAGATGCTCGAGCAGACTATCTCTGTGGTCGTACAAGAGTAAGGGTAGAGAACGAAGGTAAACAAGTTTTTAAGGATTGTGGAGGTTCAGCTCGTGCAGACAAGGCCGGGCGGAGGAGAGTGAGATGATGGATGTGGTTGCGCAGACAGCAGCCAGGTGACGGGATCGTGTCAAGTCAAACGGGTCGACGGCGGTAACGGGGAATCATGACGGTGAAACTGCTCGCAGTAATAGGGTACGTACAGCAGGTGTCGAACCTGGTGGTGGTGAAGGAAAGGGCGCATGGAAGGAGGCCGTTGCTGTCAATGGGGGGGCCAGCTTCTGGTTGTAGGAAAACGAGAGGCGGTGTTTGGTGGTGCTGAAGACGTTGCTTGGGAGTTTGCACAGAGTTCAGATGTCTTTTGGGGGGGGGATGGTGGCCTCCAGGGTCCAGGTGCCTATTTGGTTGAGTGTGCTCGTGCAGTTGTGCTCTGGGCGCGACTTTTAGTGGGCGCTCAGGAGACTTAAAGGGCCCCATTTAGTTAAAGGCGGCCAGGCTAGTTGACGACGCACACCCAAGTGCCCCGCTAAAAAGACCTACAGGTGCAATCGAACGAGTGAGGTTGCGCATGTCCATGGTGCTGTAGTGGCGTTGCTGCAGCTAGGCTCTTGTCATTGCTAGTCCTGCGTGATCGCTTTTTGATCGCTTGGATCGACTCGAACCACCGGAGCATTTTTAGCAGTCGCCCTCAATGGCGAAATGACTAGTGACCTAGCGTCAACACAGTCAGAAAATCTGGTGAACCTTCGTCTGGAGTTTCAGGGGGTTTTTGATGCGAGATGCAATGCGCAATCACACACCCACCGACTACTGTCACGCCGTTCGCTGATCGATCAGAGGAGCTGGACGGCAGTCCCCTGTGTGCTCGGTAGGCGCTGATGAGAACTACTACTACAGAGTTACCTCTCAGCGTTTGTACCCATCTTCATTTCGTCGTGGAGACCAATCTGTTGAACAACGAGCCCACTCCTGGTATCTCCGAATTGCTTACGTCGCTGGCAGTGATGGGTCAGATTCTAGCCTTCAGGTTGTGTGACACCACCATGGCAGATTACTCCAGGCCGCGTGCAGAAATCTACTGTTTCACTTGGCACAGCCCCTGGCTTCAGGTTGGGCCGCTTCAGCCTGGTCTGCTGCGTGCAGAAAGAACTACCTACTGTGGACTTCTGTGTAGTAGGTGACTGTGGGATCAGGATGGGGGCCACCAAGAGTACGCTGGCGAAAAGCGAAGAAGCAATTTTGAAAATGATTAGAATTCATCTTCTTTCTATCCATTGCCGTGCCCAATTCCACCCTTCCCAGAAAACGCCACTTACCAAGATCCCGTGGACATAATCCCTGGGGTTCTTTCCAATGCCAGCAACTGCTCGTAAGACGTCGTCGACAGTGACCTTCATGATGATGCTGTTGATAATGATAATAATACAAAAGCACTCGCTGCAATGAAGAAAGCCCCCCATCCACCTTGGTCCTTGAACTCCAGAAATGAATCCGACACCATCCTCCACACTAATAATGATAACAATAATAACACTCTGGGCGCATCACTCAATAAGGCGTTCCAGCAACGTCAACATAATAATGGATCAGGTTCTTGTCCGACTCCTTCTTGAAGTACTTGTAGAATCTTGCTTCGGGCTTGATGACAGCATGAAGATTGATGCAAAAGTTCATGACCGCTCTTTTGATGATGGATGTATAGGTGGCGAGGAGGTGTTCGGCATACGCAGCGAGGCGATCCTCTTGGATCTCGTAGAGAGTTTCGTTGCAGGAAACAAGCCGGATGAGGAGAGCATTGAGGATCTTCAAGCCGAAGTCCATAATGATGGGGAGTCTGTTTGCAAAGCGAGGCTTTTCCGGGCCAAAGTCCGACGCAAGACTCTGGAGGCTGTTGTAAAAAAAAGTATCGGTTGATTTGGGGGTAACAATAGGGTCATTGGTAGTAATGATGTACTCAATCTGTTCGAGCGTGTCGAGGACGGCATCGATCGTGGGGAGAACGGTCTGCGTGTGACTGCACAGGAGAAAGGCACCGTCGTCGATAGCCGAAAGCACAGAAGCATATGAGGAGCTGTGGTTGCATCTAGCAATGAGTAGTGCGGACAGTGTCATTCCAGGCTGTGGTTCAGGCCACTGGGGATATTGTTGGAAGAGATGGACCAACGTTATGAGAATCGTGTGTGTGTTATAGGCGGGATGGTTGAGGTTTGTGGCGCGTTTATCTCGGGATTCGGTGATCATATCCAACGACACCATGTTGTTGATGAGGAGTTCGAAGAGTTCGTTGAACTGTGAGTGCTTGGTGATCAACACACCAGGATTTTCTTCAATCAGTTTCCTGAGCCTGCGGTAGCCGAGAGCATCAAGACTGGAACGTCGAAGTGCCTCCATGGCCATCAAAAGGGTCTTTTTCTCGGAGGCAAGGCGATCTCGCTCGGGAGAACGCCGAGGTGATCTCTTTGGAGATCGCTTTTTGCGTGGACGAATCACCATGGCATTTTCTTTGCCATCGGATTTAATTGTCTCATAGCTGGACTTGGGGACAGTCTCTGGAACAACATTACTGGTGTTGTCTTTCGAGACGGAGGACGCCGACGGTACAGCTCGGCCACGAGATTCAGGTCGTTGAACACTGTTGACCGAAGGCATCGGAGTGGCAACGATGCGTCTCCTGACAGGCGCTGAGAGGAGGCTGGGCTTCTTTTCGACGTCCTCCATGGTACCAAAGAGTTTGAAGTCGTCGGATTTGATCGGCTCAGGGGTCAAGCCACGTTGCTGCGACGACTCTTGGCTCTGAGCCATGCGTTCTTTGTTCTGAGCTTTGATAGAGGCAAGTGCCGACTTTGGTCTTGGAACAGCATTGGCTTGGGCAGCAGTGGCCGAAGATTTGTCTGGATTGTGTGGATCGGCTTTCAAAGCCTTTTGAGCATGGGTGTTGAGGCCATTCATGATATTGCGGGCACCTCGTGGGTCGTACGAATGGAAGGTCCAGAAGACAGCACGGCTGTTCTCGCGGACTTTGACTTGTCCATCTGTGAGGCCTTGGAGGATGGCTTTTTCACAGGCAGGAGCATCTTTCTCGCGGTCCATCTGAGCGCGATAGGTTTTGATGAGGATGCGCAGCCACTCGGGCGCATAGGTGCGGGGAGGGATACGGTTATCCTTGAATGCAGAGCAGACGTGATAGAACAGCCGGGGGCTGTAACCAGCATGTTTGCAGATGTTGATGATGGCGTCATTGGCATTTTTCTGACTGACCATCTTGGTCGAACCGCAGATGACAATGAGACCTGAAAGAAGAAGATCGAGTTGCGGCTGGATTTGGGTCTCGAGGTGCTTTGCAATGTTTGAGAGAGCCCGGCAGGCTTGAGCAGATAGAGTGGTACGCTCAGAGCCGGCCGTGGTGACGATGTGAGGCAAGACAGCTTTGACTTTCTGGACAAAGTCATTTGGGATGGCGCTATTTTCTTTGCGCTTTTCGAAGATGTCCGAGAGCTCGGCGAGAAGATCCTGTCGCTTCTTCCAGCTTTCCTCGGTCTCTGGAAGGGTGAATTCATAATGCAGGAAGTTGAGCACATCAGCATAGGTTTTACCGAGCATTTTGGCTCTAGCGCCTGCAATGGCAAAATAGACGGCTTTTCCAATAGCAGGGATGGCTGTATCGACCTTCTTGGCTGTGTAGTTGAACGTATTGACAGTGGTAGCCTTGACTATGCAAGACCATATCAGCGAATGAAGAACGACACAACCAGACAGCGATAGCAGCGGCATACGGAAGGTTATGTGGTCATGGAAGAACGCCATCTCGTCCCACCTGCGAGATACCGAATGGTATTCTTGCACGAATTGGAACATAGAGTGGTTGATGGAGAGGGAGAATAGTGATGTAAAGCAGTGTAACAACGTAGAGCAAATGAAGCAGTGCAGTACAGGTAGTTTGAATCGAACGGCGTACAGCAGCAATTGTGATCTCTTGAATATGGGAATGTGTTTGGGGAGTGTTCCTGGGACCGAGGAAGGCCAGCTGGGACATATATATGAAAATTTCACACGTACCTGATCAGGGCGCAGGGTAGTGGCAAGGGGATTTGAGATAGAGGGTCTTGTTGTTCATGGATATGGGTATCAATGACGGTTCCAAAGGTTGAGAAAAACGTTGTTGGCGAGAAGGTTGGAGGAGGAGAAGATGAGGACAGTGACTTTGTGTTGATGTTTTGGCAAGCAACAAGGCGAACTGACTCGGAGCGGCAGGCGGAAGTTTGATCGGCTGTGCTTGGCGCGTGAGCCAATCAGAGGCCGCAGATGGTGTCGCCTCGTCGCCTTGACGCTCCTTGCCGCCCCCCTCAAAACCCCTTTTGGAACGGCGGGATATGGCCAACCAAGAACTTTCAGCTGGTCAACCATTGATTATCTACGAGAACGATCTCCATCAATCTCCATCTAATATCTCCATCTCTCACTCGATTCCTATGTACCTAAGAGGACCAATCTTCCATTGAAACCGCCCCTGCTTTTTATCTTACCACCAAACCAACATGCCTCCAAAGGCCCTCCTCCGCCTTCACCTCGACGACATTGGTCACCCAGCTGCCCAAGTGGCTTGTAGCTGCCTAGATGGAGGTCTCTATTTGAATCGAGCCATTGAGCATGTCATCGACTGCTTGTACCACCCCTGCGGCTCGGGCGACATCCCCAAAGTCAGATCGGTCACGGTGGTCCTGCGCAGCATGGGTGGAGTTGCCTACACCACGGGATTGCCACTGGACGACCTCCACAAGGAGATTCATCTGTCTCTCGACTACGTGCACGGTCTATCGCTGCGGAAAGACGCGGCAGGACTTCGCCACGAGATTGCCGGGGTCATCACCCATGAGATGGTTCACTGTTTCCAACATGATTGCGAAGGTACCGCCCCAGGCGGGCTCATTGAGGGCATCGCAGATTTCGTACGCTTGAAGGCCGGTCTTTCCCCACCGCATTGGAATAAGTCGCCCGAAAACAGAGGGCGCAAATGGGACGAGGGCTACCAAAAGACCGCGTGGTTCCTTGAGTGGCTTGAATCACTACGAAGGCCTGGCACTGTGAGTCTCATGAACGAGTTCATGCGAAGAGGGAAGTACCATGAGCAAAGTTTTTGGGCTGCCATGTTTGGGGAATCCGTGGATGAGCTGTGGGACCGTTACAAAGCGACATGGGAAAGTCCAATTCAAGTGAAGCTGGAAGAAGACAAGAAGCAGGTGGTGGCTGAAGAACACAGAAAACGGAAGCACTTCGCCGCCTAGCAGTTTTCATTGCCTCATATGCGATCCGTTCAGTCTGGACAATTCTGTAGATCATCCTGCGAAATCTCGGAGATCTAGCGAACGAGTTTCCGGTCAAAACAGTGAGTGTGAGAGCATTGGAACCGGTAGATTAAGAATGAGGCAAGACGCAAAGTCGTCTCAAGACGTGAGCGAGGCATGAGAAGAGCACGGAGCTTCTAGGCAGATCTTTGATCATTGGGCGAGGTATTAATTCCGGGTAGTTCTGGCGACAGGGGCGAGGCCGAATGCAGTTTCTGTAATTTCAAGTGGGTTCTAAACCTCGAGGCAATAATCAGCATTTTGACTTCAAGGGCCAAGGTTTAGTAATGGAAGGGGGGATGGAGTCAGTAAAAAATTAGAGTGTTGTTGCATAATTTTGTTCTTCATGGAGCAAACAAGTTCTCGGGGTTAAAAATGGATCATCACACAGTCTTTGATTTGGAATTGAGAGGAAAGGATTATGGCTTACCCAAAGATCCTCGCGAAGCAGAAAAGCGACGATCCATCCTGTTAGCTCCCAAAGGTTCTGATCAGCATTGAGTAGCAATCATGTTATTGCACCTATGTCGCGTGTCTATTGCTCTAGCTTTGGCCGCCTCAAGCCTCTCATTTGCATGTGCACGTGCTGACACCCGCCAACATCCGAGGTCCTTAGTCGAATAGACCACCGAAGCCTGGTGCATGTTAGCTCGAACGATTAGATTTCTGTGAAGGAAAGATGTAGGCTTACCCTCGTCGTCAGACTCTTCCTTCTCCTCTTCTTTTTCTTCTTCCTTGGCCGCTTCAGGCGCCGCCTCCTCGGTAGCAGCCGCAGCCGCCGGGGCCGCGGCAGCATACGCCTCAGGGTTAGCAATGCGATCCTTAAGTTCATGAATTGCCTCCCACTCATAATCGATCTCAATCGCCACCGCGATGGCCTTCTTGTAACCATTGATCAAGCTGTGGATAATGGATGGAAGGGTTGGGTAGTTGGCAGCAAGGGAGATGGTGGTGATGGTAGTGATCGCCGACGTGAGTGACTTGAGCAGTTGACTCTCCTCAACGTCCAACACCTCGGGCGCGAAAGTTTGCCCTTCCTCATACACTTGTACCACCTTCATGCCGTAGGTGAAGGGAGAAATGTTCAACATATTGAGCAGGGTGGCTTCTGAGGCACCGACTTTTGCGCCGGCCTCGACCAGCTTGAGATCAGTGGTGATTTCAATAGTACCACGAGCAATCTTAGTGGGGACACCGAGGGCCTGGAAGAAAGAGGTCTTGCCGGGTTCCATGCCAGTGTTTCCAGCTGGAACGTACACATCACCAGGAGCAATGGCACCAGCACGAGCAGGGGCTGCGACACGGTTGGAGAGGATCTTATCACGAATGGTCTTCAGGTCACCGTTAGTGAAGATGAATCCAACATTTCCTGCCAACGGTCAGATTGATGTATTCCTTCTCCTCTTATCTTGAAAAGCCGTGCGCACCTTTGACGTGGGGCAGCAAACGTTCGTATTCGGGGCTATCGGCGATGAAACCCTTGAGAGCTCGTCGAACCATGGTGTTCTTGCCCATCAGGACTACCGCTTCGCCGCGCAGATTCTGTCGGATTTCGTGCATCTGTTGCGACGAGACATTGTCGACGCTGACCTGGTGAAATTGTTAATTTGCTGGCCCATTGGTCTTTCTAGGAGGACTTGCAATGAAGATTGACTTGTACTCTTCGAGCAAGCCCTTGAGCTTGTCGAAGTAGACAGCTTTTGTGCCTGATTTGCCCCCCATGACTTCTTAAGGGATGAAGTTAGGATATTTAAGGGCAGTTGTTGCAAATATGACAGTGGTGATGGTGATGGTCGAGGTGCAACTTTTTCAGATTGAATCTGGGATATTTTCCTGAGTGCGGGTTGAGTCACGTGTGAGGCCTTGGCATCAACGGCGGAGCAGTCCTTCATGAGAGCACTGCCAAATTTCCCCATGCCTGCCCATGTCACAACGTTCAACCAATACTACTACCAATTCTTGCCTCCGGGGTATTTCGAAATCTCCGAACAGATAGCCATCTGATGGTGCGACTCTGTAGATGCAAGTCTTCTGCAAACCTCCACACTGGCTGCCCGCCCCCTGGTAAAGACGCGTGGAAGGTTTTACCGGTGTCTAAATGGCGCCCTGCCCGTTTCAAAAGCTATGCTGCGTCCAACCAGTGGATGGTGAACAACCTTTTCTTCTGGCAGCTTCAGGGCCAGTCATGAACTCATTCAACTTGAAGGATGGATCATTCTTAAGCCAATGGCCGCGATCTGACACTGAGGACGAAGAGTATAATGCAGCCGTGACTAACGGCAAGGAAGCTAGGGCCCCAAAGAGACGAAAACTCGAGGAAGGAAGTCGTGGAGAAGCCTCCCATCAGGATTCAGAAGACTCGATCGAAATCATATCGGAGAGAAAGAAGGGTGAGCGACGGAAGCCCAAGGTAGAAAACACCTCACTGCCGAACGTCTCTCATATCATCACTACCAGTGACGGAAAGACAGTCATCTGTGTCACGGCCGAGGACAAAGCAGCCATTGTGTTCAAGGTACTGACGGGAGGAGTCTTGCACCTGAAGAGTCGAAGGTGAGTAATGCCTGCGCGGGTGCGCTGGTTCGTGTTGCTTAGTATGCTTAGGTCGTTGCCAAAGCGTATTTGCGCAATCGTCTTAACACCAGATGAGAAAAGTCTTCTTCTAGGCGATAAATTTGGCGATGTCTATCTGCTCCCCTTACATCCCACTGAGGGGTGGACGCCACAGAAGCTTGATCAGGACCAACAACCAGCGACCTATGCTCCCTCTGCCTCAGAGTTAACAGTGCATACGAAGGGCAATCTTGAGGCCTTGAGACAGCAGCGCCAGCTAAAGGCGACTCAGGCCAAGAAGGAAGGCCCGCAGTTTGAATGCAAGTTGCTGTTAGGCCATGTGTCGCTCTTGACTGACGTCGCCATCGCCGAAGTCCAATCTGGATTGAAGCGCCGCCAATACATCTTGACCTCAGACCGAGATGAGCATATTCGTGTCTCCCGGGGGGTGTCACAAGCTCACATAATCGAGAACTATTGCTTCGGCCATCGCGAATTTGTGAGCAGGCTGTGTATCATGCCTTGGGACTCGGAGATACTTGTGGCAGGGAGCGGTGAGCCTTCTTTGAAGGTTTACCACTGGCAGGCGGGGAAGTTGCTGGATCAAGAGCTCTTCCAAGGCGACGTAGGAAAGGACATATTCGACTGCCTGGATTTGGAAGATAGTAGACGTCCGTTGGATGCCTTAGCAGTGTCCAATATTTGGCCTGTGCACTACACCGTGTCAGGCAATTCACCACGTTCTCGCCAGCCTCCTCGTTTGATCCTTGTCTCGCTCGAAGGGTAAGTCCTCACTGCGCATTTGGGGAGCTGGAGCTGAGCATATTCCAGGCTTCCCATTCTCCTGAGCTACAGCGTCACAGAAGATGGCCGCTTGAGGCATCATCAGACCTTGACGTTGGGAGGAAACGTCTTGGATGTTACCATAGGCCCAACATTGTGGGGAATTATTGTTGGCATTGACACGATACATAAACCTGGCTCGGTCCAGGTCTTGAGACCTGAGACGACACCAGCACCAGATGCGTTTGAGACGTTTGAGCTATTTTCCGATCTTGGCGATGACGAAAATGGCCCGGGCAAGGAACCAGACGGTGTTCCTGAAGCAGACCTGCGTTGGGAGACTTCGAGCCTTGCAATGCTTCTGAACACTTCGGCTTCTCACTGTGACAAGGGTGCTTTGCCGTCAGAAGGCAGCATAAAGGACAAGGGTGCATATAGCGCTGCAGGAGAGGTGTTGTATGGGCTGGAAAATCTCAGGAAGAAAAGAGGCCAAACTGCAGAGGAAGATGAGGAAGCAGAAAGCCAGCAGGGTGCCCCGGCCGAGGCAGAAGAGATACCGTGAACAATATTGTCCCCATGATAATGAACGATGTCTCTTCTCAAATACAAGTGAAACTGCAACCGAAACACAATGGGACTGTCCCAACACCCCCGTACCTATTGTTTAGTGCTCCTCACGCAGCCTTGCTGGAGGAAGGGGGGATTTCGGATCTGCAAGGCTGGGAAAAACCTCGGCGCAACCGGAAAAAAATGCCCCTCTAAACATCATTGACAATCACAACTTGTTGAAATACGAATGGGAGTATTGTAGCAGGCTCCTCTCCAACAAGCACGGCCCAAACCAAAAATAGACATTTCGTGGTGAACAGGTTTTGGAAGATGGAGAAAAATTGGCCGCCTCTCAAGAATGATCGACTCCTTCGAGCCGCACGAGGTGCGTGAAGCCGGCACAGCGTCCAAAGCGTGCCAACAGAATACAACCCCCCTCTAAACCAGATTTACAGGTGAGAAAGTTGACAGACCACCAATATGGGTGATGCGACAAGGTACGCTGCTGCTGTGGCGGTCAGTTGCCCACGCCCCTTCTGCTCTCTAACTCTGTTTTCTCTCCTCTCTTCTATAGCTTTTTCCAAGGCACTAACGTTCCGCGGTTTTGGGGGCGGGATAAAAACAGCCGGTCGTTACCTTCCCGAGTACCACAAGGCCAAAGGCAAGCACGACTTCTTCGAGTGCTGCCGCTCCCCTGAGATCGCCTCCACCCTGACTCTCCAACCTATCGATCGCTACGACGGCCTCATTGACGGGGCGATTATTTTCTCCGACATCCTCGTCATCCCACAGGCAATGGGCATGGAAGTCCTGATGGTCGACGGCGTGGGGCCCAAGTTCCCGAACCCGCTCCGGAGCCCGTCGGACAAACAGTACCAGGAGATTGTGAAGAGAGAGGTTGACGTGAAGAAGGAACTGGACTACGTGTACAAAGCCATCACACTGACGAGGGAGAAGTTGGCCGGACGAGTGCCGTTGTTTGGGTTTTGCGGCGCGCCCTGGACACTGCTGTGCTACATGGTGGAAGGAGGCGGGACAAAAATGTTCAAGGAAGCAAAGACGTGGGTCTACAAGTATCCGGAAGAGAGCAAGGTCCTCTTGAAGAAGATGTCGGCGATCTGCGTCGAGCACCTCACATTACAAGTGGCTGCAGGAGCACAGATTGTGCAAGTCTTCGACTCCTGGGCGGGAGAACTGTCGCCGGCATCGTTCAAGGAGATCTGTCTCCCGTCATTAAGGTATATTGCAGAGAACCTACCCAAGCGGTTACGGGAGATTGGTGAAGACGTGGTCCCCATGGTCGTCTTCGCAAAGGGTGCATGGTACGCTCTGGACGAACTCTGCGACCTGGGCTACGATGTTGTGGGACTGGATTGGCTGCACGATCCCAAGGATGCGGTGAAGATAGCAAGAGGGAGAGTCACTTTGCAAGGTAATGCTGACCCCGGCGTGCTCTATGGAGGCCATGGGGCCATCACGAAAGTTGTCGAGAACATGGTTGAGGGCTTCGGAGGGGGCAAAGAACGATGGATCGCGAATCTCGGACATGGCGTGACCCCTGGCGTCGACCCAGACGATTTGAAATTCTTCTTCGAGGAGATCCACAGGTGTACTGCATAAAGGCCGCAAAGGAAAAGGGAGACACTGCTGAGGAAGGGAATGGTTGCGTGGAGGTTTGCTGTATATCATTGCTCCCCAATATCCTCGTTCCTAGTAGGCTTCCCATCAGACAAAAGAAAAAGTCCCCAATGCCAAAAGACGAATTTAGAAGAATAAGAAAAGAACAGGACATACCACACATGCGGTTTCTCCTCGATAAACCTCGTCATCAGCCCGATACATTCGGCGTTCTCCAACACCACGACCTCGACGCCTCTTGCCTTGAGATACTCCTCTCCGCCCACGAAGGTCTTGTTCTCGCCTATCACTACCCGGGCGATCTTGTAGAGGATGCAGGCGCCAGTACACATGTCGCAGGGCGACAAGGTCGTGTACATGGTGGCGCCCGCGTAGGCCAAGGCCGGAAGACGACCCGAGTTTTCCAGAGCGGAGATTTCGCCCTTGCACATCATGGACCCTCAGCGTTATGGTCGAGAGAAGTGAAAAGAGCCAAAAAAGGACATCCGAGAGGAGAGAAGACTTACATGCAACGTAGCGCTCCCCTTCTGGACTCGCATATTGTGTCCCCGGCCGAGGATCTTGCCGTCCTTGGAGACCAGGCACGCCCCTATCCTCAACCTTCCTTAGCGAACCCTTTTTTTCCCTTCTCGTCCACTCCGGAGGCATTGGAATTTTCCCGCCCCGTCAGAGCGGGCAAAGGGAAGAAGGAAAGGAGAGGGAGGGAGGAATACTAGGGAGTAACAGCGCGTGTGCGGCACGTACCTATCGGGACCCCTCCTTCCGTGAACCCTTGCCGGGCTTCTTCCACGGCTGCGAGAAAGCCTGGATCTGTTTCCGACATGTTGTTGTTGGGTTCGTTAACGCTAGGTTTGGAAAAGGACAGATAGACTGTCAACTGGATTGCGCGCGTGCGAGAGAAGGAGGTAACAATGTATTTATAGGAGAGGCAGCAGAGGCCGTGGGAGCTCGGAACTCCGACTGCGATATCAGCCTTGCCTCGCGCTACTCCGATCTGATATACATGTGACATATGTCTATGTGTAGTTGAAAAGAAGGTGACCGTTCCGTAGGCAGAGCATCTTCCATCTCCATGAGCCGGCCATCTCAATCACACAACAGGCCAATGTGTATCCCCCTTCGACCTGATCCACAAAGCTGTCTACTTATCTCAACCTTGCAGGAAATCTCCCGCCGCCTTCCTCCACGACATCAGCACTTTCAGTTCCTCACCACCGTACCCTCCCTCAATGTCGTCTTTGATATCAAATGCTCCTTCCGGCATGATGGCGAATGCACGTCCTGCAGGCAGACATCGTGCCAGGTTAGATTCAGGGCAGAGCTCTCAGAAGTGGGGAGGCTTCCGGTGGATTGAAAAGAGGGATAAGCCAGCTGGGGGCAACCTACCATGCAACGTCTCGTCCAGTGCGATTCTTCCCACGGCCTGTGCACAAGTCTCCTTGCTCGCAAATGTGATCCCCCTGCCATCCTCGATTCCCATGCCCTCAAGTGCTTTTATGATCGGCGCCGTCATCGGCGTCTTGATGGCCCAAGGGGCAACCAGATTGACACGGGTGTTCATCTCGTCGCGTGCTCGGCGACGCAAGGCGCGAAAGAGGCCCCTCGTGCCGAATTTCGAAGTCGTGTAGGCGATGCTGTGGTCGTCGTCCAGATAACCTGCCAGAGAGGAGATGAAAATAAGAGCCTTTGTGACGGCGGCGGATGCCGAGGGCGCAGGTGGAATTTGCGGCTTGAGTTGAAAGTAATGCAACGCCAGCGCCCCCGAATAGTATGACCCCTTCAGATTGATATCGAGGCACTTGAGCGAGGGAGCAAGCGGCGGCGACTCTAGCGCCACTTCCCGGCTGGCCTTGACCTGGTCAATCAGATTCTCAAGCGGGTCGACTGCCGCAAAGGCTGTCACGACGTCGAGGCATTTTGTCGGCGAGAATGAGATTGCCTTCTGAAATGCGGCGGTTTGACTGTCCCAGTCGCTCACGTCGCAGTAGACGTATTGAGTGTGTTGGCCTTCCTTGGTGAGAATATCTTCGTCGAGGGGAGGTTGGACGTCGGCAATGGTCACGTAGGCGCCCCTTGAGGCGAACAGTTGGGCCGCTTCCAGCCCCAAACCTGATGCTCCGCCGGTGACCAGGATGCACTTGCCTTTAAGACCTGCAAGGTCTACTAGAGGGAGGAGGCTTGTCATGCTGACTGCAGCGTTAGTGAGTTGCAAGAGATGGCCGTCGATAAGTAGGACCGAGAGCAGAGAATCTTCAATCAATAATGTGCTCGTAGCTCATAGCTGGAGGAGAGTGACCCCCTGTGTCGGGGTAAATCTCCTTCATATACATATGTAACCCTCCATGGACTGGATCCAGCGACAGAGTACGGTTTCAGCTCATGCAACTATCCGTCCACTATTACCATGGACGACTTTCGAGGCCGGATCAGGCCATCCATGCTAACCGGGGGAATAAGACGGTAAGGTTTCTCGACTATCAATCGAGCTGAATCGCAATCTTGACAGAGGCCAGCAACTTGAGGACACTACCGAATCACCAAGCCAAGAAGACTTGTAGTATCACCGTATAGTTTGCCAGGCTGATTAAGCCATCCATTTTCGGTATCTCGCTTATTGAGACATGCTTCTCTGGATGCTTGTCGGTTAAGGGCACTGGGTAGCAGTACGACGTCGTCAATATGACTTGCATGACAGGAACCGATGAACAGCGACAAGTAGAAGCATGCCCGAGAAGTGCGACAACAGCCGAACGCAAGTAAATAATAGCAAGGTGGTATAGCATGGTCAACAATGGTCAACATGAGTTTGGGGATGTTGTTGTGGAGGCTGGGGATGTCCTTGGGATGTATTGGAAGAACCCTCGTCGGACCAGACTCTGAGGCGGAGCAGTTCTTGATTCTCTGGTATACATGCAAAACCGAACATGCAGATACATACTGTACACCTTGAAACAAGTGCCATCAAACAAGAGTCTTGAGAGTTGAGACGAAGTACAGGTCTTTTGATTCCCCACCTCTCCTCTCTGACCTCCTCATCCCTGCAAGGAAGGAGAAAAACATACCAATCTCCCATCACTCGAACGATATTTTGGCTGCTGTACTCGAGAACATGGAGTACTTCCAGATATACGATTCCGCCTTCCACGCTCTTATAGGAGACGCCCCTCAGCTCGACCTACTGCTCGAAAAAGATTATCCCTTCGCTCACGAAGCAGGAGTGTTTATACCCGAGAAAAATGAGCTGTTCATCACCAGCAACCAGTTAGTGGACGGAGAAGGTCACCGAAGAGTGGAAATCTCCAAGATCATCTTGACGGACGACGGGAATGTGCAAAGCGAGGAGATTAGCTGTCCCGAGGTCGAGATGGCCAACGGAGGTGTCAACTACGGCCAGGATAAAATGCTAATCTGTGCCCAAGGCTCCGGGTCTGCTCCCAGTGGTCTCTACCTTGTGGACATCACTCCTCCGTACAAGACCGAGTTGGTTGTGGCGGGTTTCCATGGACGGCCATTCAACGCGGTAAACGATGTCGTCGTCCACAGCGACGGAAGCATTTGGTTCACCGATCCCTGTTATGGCTTCGATGGAGGGTTTAAGTCCAAACCACGTCTTCCAAACCAGGTCTACAGATACAAGCCGACGACGCGCGGAATTCGAGCCATGGCGGATGGGTTCGGCAGACCGAACGGAATCTGCTTCTCGCCGGACGAGAAGACCGTTTATGTGACCGACACTGACTGGACTCGGGGAACAGGCGATATCGATGACACCAGAGCATCGACAATGTTAGTATATCTTCCCCGCTCTACACTGGCCTCGTTAGAAGGCTCGCAGCTCATTGTTTCTTGTGCAGATACGCTTTTGATGTCCGGGAGTACGCAGGAGAGCCATTCCTAACGAATCGAAGACTGTTTGCGTTCTGCGACACGGGGATCCCTGACGGCATCAAATGCGATATGGACGGCAACGTGTACAGCGGATGTGGCGATGGAGTCTATGTCTGGTCGCCTGGAGGAACTTTGCTAGGCAAAATCTGTGTGCAGGGCGGAGTGGCCAATTTCTGCTTCGGCTCACGAGGAGGGCTGTTTCTGCTGAATGAGAAGAGACTGTGGCGAGCCCAGCTGGCGCCGACGGTTCGAGGAGCCCTACTCAAACTGTAGACTAAATGAGACTCGAAAGAACCTGCCTACTGTGGCCTCAAACGTAAGGGATATTCATTCATGTGGGTATTATCTATCTATCCTGGCATAAGACATGTCTTTGTCTTTGTCTTGGTCGCCTGGACGCCTGTTCTCCAGTCCCCATACTACCATCCGCTAAACAGCATCTAGTCCTCTTTAACAACGGGACTTCTTCGACAATTTGTTCCAGAAATGAACAAAAACATCGTGTTGGAAAGGTTAAAGCACAAAAAGATCAAGGCCAGGCACTAAGTCCACAAGCTGTCAACAATACTGATCTCCATCGTACAATGCATATCCTAGGGCTATGGTGGAACCCGTCTGCAATGGTCGTCTCATCGAAGAAGCTGTGGACATTCAAGAGATATCGAAGATTTTTAATTTAGAGAGCCATGCCCGCGCCGGGTCCTAGCTTCGACGGACCGGCAGGAGAGTTGCGCTTGTCCCTTATGTTGCTCGCAGAATTGCTCCTTGGTCGATTTGCAACGGCCATTGGTGGTGGACCGCCGCGAACACCATATGGTCCAGGGGACATGCTTCGACCTGGCGGTCCCATTCTCGGGCCCGGAGACATCGATCTCGGTCCTTGATTGAAGCCTGGGCTCATCGGTTTACGCATTGGGGCCGGACTCATTCTTCCACTAGGACTCATCGGTCTCCCTGCAGGACTCATCGGGCGTTGAGGACCCATGCCAGACCTGGGGCCGCCAGCTGGGGACATGGGCCGAGACCCGGGGCGAGACCCCGGCGCTCCAGGTGGTGGTGGTCGGGCATATTGGTTGAGATGAGATGGCTTGGGCTTGGATGGTTTGGCGGCGAGGCAGGTTCTCGGAACCACACCCTGCTGGGATCGATCAAGTCGGATGCAAAGCGCCTAGGAATACATTAAAATACTTGACTAATTCAACAGAAATACAACACTTACCCATCCATCATCATACTCGTGAAGTAGACGAACCAGTTGACCGTTCTTCAACTCAAGTTCGTCGTCCATGGAAGGCACAAAATCCATCAAAACGCGGTAAACATTGCCTTGAGGTTCGGATCCAGGGCCGCCGGCGGAGACGAGAGCTGGCGATGCTGGCGCCGAACTAGCAGGAGAAGGAGTCTGTTTTGGTGAGGGTTGGGCAACGGGAACAGGAATGGGAGCCGGAGCAGACGCAGAGGCTGGAACAGGAACTGGTTCCGGCGCTGGTGCGAGTTTCGACGCTGGAGCGGATGCAGGAGCCGCAGTGAGAGCTTGAACTGGTTCTGGAGCGGGAATGACAGCGGGCGCAGCAGTTGGACCTTCGGAGAGAGCTGAAACTGGCTTGGCTTCGATGATCGGGGCGGGTGCGAGGGCAGCGGCAGTAGCAGCAGCAGCAGCAACACCAGTGACAGCAATGGCTGGAACGACAGGAGCTGGTTTGGCAGTGGATGCCACGCTGCTTGGCGTGGCCGGGGCTACAATCGCTTTCTCGGGGTCTGCAAATGGATTTTTGGGATCAGCAAATGGGTTGTTCGGATTATCATCCTGAGATCGGCGAGGAGCTGGACTTGGACCTCGTTGACGAGTTGGGCTTGGGCCGCGTGGTTGAGGCGAGGGACTCAAGTTTCGAGCAGAGCCAGAAGCACGGGCGGAATCCGATTCTCCGATGGTAGTGAGTAGATTGCCGGCGCTGAGTCTGCTCTTAGAAGACGCTCCCATGAATTCAGGCAACATTCGAGACACAGGCCTGAGGCTGATTCGGGGAGCGGTTGAGCTGATGGGTGGACTCCTAGTCGCCATCTCCGTGCTGCTGACTCCAGCACCAGGATTGTGCTTCTCATTGTCCGTGGCGGCTTGTGCCTCACGCTCACGCCTCTTCTTCCCGAGTAGCCATAGCAGGAAGACAGCAATCAGACCCACAATTGCGATGACCGCAATGGCGATACCTGCTTTCGCACCTGAGGAGAGGCCGGAACTTGGGCTTGAAGAGTCAGGAGTGCCGGTAGCCGCCGCAATTGCACCACTATCTGTGTTTGATAGGGAGGAGAACGCGGTCGGGGAGCCATTGCCTCTGGTTGTCGGTGCAACTAGGGGAGTAGCAGTGGTCGGCGCAACGCTCCCAGTTGAGCCCGTGGATGAGCCAGCGGTGGGAGAGGATGATCTGGCGGCACTCGCGCTGGAATCCTGTGTGGCGGTCTCAGTGGCAGAGGAATCGCCAGTGAGAGTGGTATAGCCTCCAATGACACCAGTAAAGGTTGGCTCTGCCGTGACATAAACGACAGAATAAACAGTGCCTCCATCAGTGATGGAATCTTGACGCCTGGCCAGCTCCACCACCTTGTCGTGGAAATTCATCTTCATCTTTTTTAGGTCTACTGCTTGTTGAACTCGGCCTGAATGGGGGGGGGGGGGAGAATGTATCTGGTAACGCAGATGCGAAGCTGGTTCAGGCGGATTCTTGATCGTCGCCGATTGTGTCGAAAGGGTATAGAACAGGCCTGGGCCGGCGGTTGAAGCTGAGGTGTTTGATGAAAGTGTACAGCTGGATATGTCACAGCGCTGCTGGAATCGTTCGACGACGATGGAGTGACTTGGAAAGGTAAGAGGGTGAAGGAGCGGCTGGTGATGAATTGTCGATAAAAGAGGGGCGACAATTCACACTCAATGGATAATAGGGATGAATAAGGAAGAGAGGCAAGAATCGAAAGGATGTCAAGAATGGACTCCGCGTCGTCGACGAGCTTCGAGCAGAAGAGAGCAAGCAAGAAGAAGGAGCGAGAGAATCGAAGCTACCCAGTAGAGGGAGATGAGAGAGTGCAGTGGCCGTGGGCCGTGGCAGTGACGCGGTGGTGAGATAAGAGACGAAGGGAAAGTGGTTTGACTGAAGCTGTTTCAAACGTAGGCGCAGTTGCGACTGGGCAGGTGAGGGCAGGGCGTGGACGAGGGAGGCAGCGGGATGATTAAACATGGGCGTTCAGGGGTCCCTGGGACTGATGATTGGTGTGCCTGGATTTAGGCCTTAGTAGCCCAAGCCACCCAAGCGCCGCCGGACGCCCCAGGCCCCGATATAGTTTAGGCGCCCCTGTACCTGCAGCGTTAGCGGCCGATGAGCGAGATTGCTCCTTTTTCGCTCAACGTTGCACCACAGTCCCGTTGACAAGTGACGCTGTGGTTTCCCGCATGTGCTTTCGAAATAATTGTGTCGTTTTCAGCGACTACTAGATAGGTACGAGGTACTGCTCTCTCTACCTATGTGCTTGTAGATACGATGGAGGTATGAAGTGCTTGTATGCGTGGTGAGGGCCTGATCTGGTACGCGTCTGCTAGCCACGAGAAACATCCGAGTAAAGAAGCTTCTGCACGCGAGATTTGCCGACAAGGAAGAGCCTGATAAACGCTTCATCCACTGGATCATCATCCATTATTTTTATCAACTCCCTCGTCCGCCATGAGATTGTCGTCCACCTGCAAACTTCTCCGCTCTTGTCCCACCCATCAAACACTCGTCAATCCCTCTCGCACTCTGATTCGACCTCTGTCCAGAATGTTGATATATTGATTGGTGATTCGTCAGGCCTTCGCCTTCGATCTTCTATCCACACTTGTCGTGTTATCGATCATCTGTCGATCAGCCTCGCGTTTGGTGCCGAGGGTGCTGAGTACTTACGCCTCAAGAGATGCCCATATGGCCTGCTCTGAAGACCGACTAACGGCGGTTGCCAAAGTCTGGATCGCCCGTTTTCATGGGACCATCTCTGTTAAAATAGTCAACTCGCTCCTCAAGATCTAGGCGAAAATTGTACAGACTACATCACATGTCCCTCTCAAAATGTTATCATCATCCCCCAATAACCGATTTTAGGTCATGCCGCAGAGCTTCTTTTGCAGTCAATCTCCTTGTCTTTTCATAGAAGACAGTTTTGGAGACAAAGTCAATGGCGGCTACAGAAGCCCCAGGAAGAATTTCCTTCCATGGTTTTGCTGGAAACTTCTGAAATCGCATCTTTCCCCAGTCACGACATGCTTCTGCAGAGGGCCAACTGTCCACGTCCGGCGTCCCAAGTGTTGTAAACATGGACTTGATCAGGCTTAACTCGCTTCCCAATGGACCGGCATCGAATAGTGGATGGTGGCCGTCCCTGACCATTTCCGCAACAACACAACCCGCTGCCCACATATCCAACGAGGTGTCGTACGACCGATCTCCAAATAGGATCTCTGGTGGACGATAGCAAGTCGTACCGACGTCAGTGATCTTGGTATCCGCAGGCTCGGAGTCCTTATCGTCTGGAGACCATGCGATACCGAAGTCTATCAGATAGACAGGCCCGCTCATGGTTTTTAGTAGGATGTTGGATGGCTTGACGTCTCTATGGATCATGCCTAAGGCATGAATATGTTCCAAGGCCTGGAAGAGTCCGTCGAACACCATGCTGCTCTGCTGTCGGTCCAGCCGGTCCGATCTGAGAAGATTCTCCAGGTCTTGCCTGAGGAAAGGGAAGACGAGGACGAGTCTTCCTCCCGATTCGTGAATGGTGTCTAGAAGAGGCACCACATGCTCATGGCGCGCCTTGACAAGCAGCCTAGCCTCTCGTTCCGAGTTATGGGGCGGAGTCATCATTCCCGGATGGGTGACTTTGAGGGCCACAATTCGAACAGGAGCGTTCTCGTCCTTTGCCTGCGCTTTGAAAATGGTCGACATTTGCCCGTCTGTATGGTAAGTTGCATATTTATAAGCACCGAAGCTGGGGCCTTCGAGGTTCAATATCTCTTGCTCTTGGGGGAGCTCGGTTTCGTCCGCTGGCGCTGCATTTTGCGCTTGGGTGGCTTTTAGAGCCTTTTGCAGCTGTCTTTGGTATTCTTCCTGGTGCAGTCAGCGGCGAATTGCTGGGACCATTGGAGGGCTGGATACTGGAGAAGAAGCTGACTGCAGGAGTTCCCCTTCGAGATCTCTGGCCTTGTTGCGAGCTATGTCTCCATCGTTTCCTGCTGAAATGAAGGCATTCGCCCTGCCGTAGATTAGACGAGACAGCAGAAACTGTCTGCTTATTCTTACAGAGACACAATGTTGCTCAGTCTCTCGGTGAAGCTGATGTCTGCGGGCATGGTGAGTGATGTGCTGAGAGAAGTCCTGTTCTGTCCCTCCTGTTCTGTGCTTGTCCTGCTGGGAGCCTTGTAGGATTCGGGGGCATGGAAATCGGTGCTCGGACTCTTGGGAACAGTCTGGAGAGAGTGTGAGAGCTCATTTGACGCAGAAACACCCAAACCCGATCTAGCCAGTGTAGAGGGCATTCCGTAGTCAACGTAGTATAGCCAGAGCAGCTTCGAAACGAGGACTGTGCGGGAGAGTGACAAGCTTTTAGAATTCCCCGAACCAAAATGTGGAGGGAGAGTCTGCAGTGCGCAGTCTGACTGGTAGCAGGTACAGTACGTATGTAATCGTGACCCGCCAAATACCGAAGAGCCACCAGAGCTTCCAGACCATTTCCTTCTTCCCCTGCTTCATCGAGTCTCGTCGTGCCGACTCCAGACTCCACACCTCATCTGATTTCTTTTATGTGCCATGCCACTTTGTCTTGGGATATATCTGTGTTTGTTCACTTGAATAGAGTGTGTTTAATGCTTGGATAACCTTTACGCCATGTCCAACACGGATTACCAGCGGACTGAATATCTAAATCTTCTGGTAAGACCTCCCCTCGAAAACCCGTGAGCCTCCGACTGTAGTGAAACTCATCTTTTCTTTGCGCCAGGCCTCGTTGCAACCGGAGCAAGCCGTAAACATCCTCAATGACCGTGTCACGCTCATTACCAAGATCAACAGTGACATTGCCGATTGGCTTCAGGTCAGTCACTCGTGTAACACATCGACCTAGATGTTGACACTCGCGCAGGAACGTCGGAAGGTAGAGGAGGCCTATGTCGCGGGTCTGCGGAAGCTTGCGCGAAGGCCACAACAAGATGGAGCCGCCGCTCTTGGGTATGCACTGTCTCGGCCGGCTGTCTAGGGTTGCTAAATCGACGCAGCATTTTCCAGATGCCCTGGCAGCGAATTGTCTCCGGCACCGAAAACCTCGCGGCATCGCACGAAACCCTTGCTACCAAGATCGAAACCGACGTCGAAACCCCCTTGCGCAGCTGGGCGACACGGAACAAAGCAATGCACAACCTAAACACCGCACAGGGAAACCTGATGTCGATTGCAAAGGAGCTGTCTAGCGCACAGAGAAAGGCTGCAAAAGGTGGAAGACGGGCTGACACAGCCAGCTCAACGGTGGAAGATGCCTCGCGTCAGTGGGAATCACAAGCACCATATGTCTTTGAACAGTTGCAAATCGTGGACGAGTCGCGAGTCAACCATCTACGAGACGTTCTTACGCAGTTCCAGACACACGAGGTCGACTGTATCGAAAAGAATAAGGTTAGCGCAGAGTCTTGTCTGAATGCATTGCTCAACGTCGAGACGGCGGACGAAATAAAGACCTTTGCAGCAAGAGCCGTCAGTAGAGGAGCCGGCACCCTGAGAAGGCTCAGTTCAGCGACAGCTGGTGGAAGGCCGACCAGTTCCTCAATCCGTGCTCCGCCAACACCGCCGCCACCGCGGGGCACATCTGAAGGGCAGAGTCAACGCTCAAATTCTTTTGCTGGCCAGGATAGACTGGCTCCATGTGAGTTCGATCAGCTTGTCATTTGGCTGGTTCTGACGTGTTCCCAGTGCCCGATGCTCCGCCACACAAGGAGAAGAGCAAATTGGGTGGTCTCAAGCGCCTTGGTACGGTCATGAACAGAAGGAAGAGCACCGCTCCGCCAGTGCCTTCCACAGAAGAGAAAAGGAGGACTCGATTTGTGCCTTTCAGAAGAGGAGATTCATCCCGGAGCTTCCAGGACTTGGAGGAGTCAGGACAGGGTCTTACACCGGCTGCGACTCAAGATCGGCCGATGTCTTCAGTTTCTCAAGATCGACGACACGATCTTCCCATTCGAGACATGTCGGAGCCACCGCTGCCTCTACCTCTAACTAATGGAACTACCCAGCCACAAAGTCCTTTGGAATCGCAGCCGACTGTTGCTCCAACTCAACCTGGCTTGGCAGACAATATCAGCCCGCCACCTGCCCAGTTCAGCAACAACCCATATCAACAGGCTATATTCCATCAACCACCCGTCCCTGAGACCACGAGCTCCATGGCTCAGGCTCAACAAGAGGCAGCCTTCGTTTCCGGCCCAGCGGACGAATCGGCCCGGAACTTCATGATCCGGGACAAGCCGATCGAAGAAGACGAAAGCGAAGCTCAACTAGCGATGAACAACATGGCCAACCAGCTCCGCTCACAAGCACAAAATGCCGGCATTAACCGTGTCCAAGGAAGTGTGAGAGGACGAAGAGACGTGCGAAATACAATGTACATCCCGAGCAGCACGGAGGCACTACCGCACACAGCTCGCACTCCTGGGCCCATGACTATACCGGAGAATGCCAGCTCGCCCGAGGTTACCCTTGCGTCTCCTATTCAAAGGCCAGCGGTGGTAGCACTTTCCCAGGACGAACACGGTGCAATAGGCTCCGACACCGCCTCGATGCACTCATCCAGAAGTCTAGCCGGCCCAAGTCCACATCCCGATCTACACGAGCCGGGCCTTAACGCCTCTGTGATCGAAACTGTGCATTCCTGGTTTACCGAGTCTGGCATCAGTAGGTCCTTCGTCCTCGGCGAGGTGGCGCTCGCATGCAACCCGACCGGCCTTCATGACCCAGATACTGAAACTGTCCGCATCCAGCATTTCGAACTGCTCGACAAAGTCGCCGCGAACCCCATATTCATGAGCCAGATCAAGTCGCCTGAAGACTCAGCAGCTCAAGCTGAGGAACGGGCTGGCTGCTATTCCGTGCTTGTCTCCTCGCTGAGGAGACCGACCCCAATGATCTGCTTGAAGTACCAACTACACATGGAAGAGAGCAATCTGGCCCGGTACAGTCCGGTCCTAATCACACCGGCGTGGCAAATTGTCGAGGGACAAGTGAGTGTAATTGTGCTGTATAGTCTGAACCCTGTCTTTGGCAACGAGCCTCTGACACTCAGAAATGTGCACATTAGCGTGAATCTCAACACCACTGGTGAAGGGACAGGCAAAGCGATGTCTGCCATGATGGCGCCAACCCAAGGCGCAAGCTTCCGCCGCAAAGCTTCATCAGTGGTGTGGCGCATGAACGAGTTCACGGTGAAACCAGAACAGGAGCGCTTTCTGGTTCGGTTCATGACCCAAGGCGGCATGGCGAAGAAGGGCGGCGTCGAGGTGAAATTTGAGATTCCTGGACGAACGGCCAGTGGTGTCGGAGTGGAGAAGCTCGTTGCAAAGGAAAACGACCCCTTCGCCGACGACGGAGGGGCGGTAGAGGATGCAGAGGCGGTGAAGAAGAGCTGGGAGACAGTGCCGACCAAGTCGAAGTTGGTTAGTGGACGGTACACTGCCAGCTGATGAATCTCTGCTACCATGCTGCTGTGGGAAGAGAGTGAGACAGGCAGCCGGGCTACAAAATGAGAGGAATTCGAATTTGGAGGATGGAAGAGTTGTAAATTGGATACTGGGGAGCGTTGTTTCCTGCTTCATATATAATGAATGACCAGCGGAGCCACACACGGATCCTATATAGCGCGGCGATTGATTTGTTGATTCTTCCCCTTTTCAAAGAGGATTTGATGCTGTTTACTGTTTACTGTCACCACTGTCCCTCCTCGAATCGGTTGCTGCATACATCACGTACGAGTGAGGAACAAGTCTAGATACGTATCTACTCACCCCCTCTACCTAGTTCTCTCTCTCAATCACTCTCTCTCTCACACACACACACACACACACACACAGAGAGAGAGAGAGAGAGAGAGAGAGAGAGAGAGAGAGAGACTCGACTGGGAGGCAACATCGATCCAACCAGTTGAGCTGCGCCTACATGTTCGTCTTCTCCCCCTCGCAATAGATGTATGTTGGTAGCTCAAGTATGTTGGTAGCTAACCTGACTAAAAAAGAGAGAAAGAAAAAAAGGTGACCCGCCGCCACAATGTTCTCGGTGCCATTCGTCTTCAGCGTCGTGTCGTGCCAGCCAGTCAATTCTAACTTCCTCTGCTTTCCACCATCTACGTAATCCCCTATCTCGAGATTGCGCCGGTGAATCTCAGGCAAGATCTCTTCCCTCGGCGGATGTAAAAGGGTACCTCCCTTCGACGCCAACGCGACGAATTGCACTTCCCGCAGAAACGGTCAGTGTGACGCCGTGGGCCCCGACGGCCTGTGGGATAAATGACCACAAGGCAATCATGTGGCGTCTGCTCGCTGACTCGATCCATTCCAGTAATAATAAGCGCCCGTCTCTATCAATGGTCCTAGCTTGGTCCATAGACCCTAATGCTGTTTCTTCTCGTCGGTCGAGAACGGTGACGGTGCCCCCTCCACAGCCTCGCAGAACGGCGCCATTTCTCCGAAGCACCGCGCTGATCATATTCTCCGTAGGTGGTAACGATGTCGGCATCGTTTGCTGCCGCATTTCTATTTCGGCAATAGCACACCCCTCTCCTTGTCATAACTCGCTACTTCCTTGACTAAGGCCACAAAATCCTTTTGTTTGTCCTTGGGATGTGCTACTACCTTCATAAGGTCTCTGATCGTTATGCCTTGAGGTGGGATTGCGTTCTTGATGTCTTGTGCTGAAGGGAACGCTACCGGTCTGGGAGCGCTACCTGGAGCAGAGACGGGGGTCGGGGACGCTGCCCGGGAAGATGGCTGACCTTGCGGTGAGGCTGTTCCGGGTGCGCCAGTTGAAGGCGGGGACGCCGACATCTTGAGATTGAGGCGTCGAGCACGACTGCTGTCGGACATGCCGGCGGCATCAGTGTCTGTGTCTGATCCAGCTCCCACGGGACTTGTAGCACCGCCGCGCTTTCGGCCCTTTAATGCCGCCAAGGGGTCCAGGGTTTGCGGAGCAGAGGAGCTGGGTAGGACATTGACGGGGGACATTGGCCTCGAATGACCCGGCGTAGGTTGACTAGAAGGCAGATGTCTCGACTTGATCTTCTTCTTCCGCGTCGAGACGTCCGTGCCCGAGGCGTCAGAAAGATTTGGCGAGCCGGGGCGCTTCAATGAACGCGACGATGTCGATTTCTTCATGCCGCCTTCATCTTCGCGATCGGAACCCCTCTTCTCTTTTCGACCCGAAGGCGTGTTTGCACCAGAGGACAGAGCGGATTTCTTGGCCTCAGCCTCTTCTTCCTTCTTGACATTGGCGAGACGCTCACGCTCGATTCGCTCTCGTTCTTCCTCGCTGTCGGTCTTTGCACACCGTATTAGCGAGCCTGTCTTTGATGGTGTAGAAAGGGTAGAACTTACCGAGGATTCATATTCTGAATCACTGCCATGATTGTAATTCCGCTCCCGCCTCTCCAGGGCTTTTCTCATGTGTCGGAAATTCTTCTTTCTGGCCTCCGCTTCCCGCTTTTCTCGGGCTTCTGCCTCATCATACTCCTTGAGGTCCTTGAAATCGAGGAAATTAGCTTGCAATTGATCTTCCTTGATCCGCTTCTCTGCGAGCTTCTCATCCTCGTCTTTGTCTACGAAGAGATCGCCCTCCTCATCATCGGCAAAGTCGTCTTCGTAATCAAGATCTGCTTCCTCACCAGTCCTCCCTGCATCGACTGTTGTCCGAGCTGCGCCAGAAAAGAGTGCCCTACTTTCTTTGGCAGCGCGCTCTTTCAGGGCTTCCTGAATTCGAGCTTCTCGGTGGCGAATCAGCCACTCGGGATCAGAGCCCCCCTTTTTCATTGCGGCTTCGACTTCCTCGATAGACATCTTTTGAAGGTCCTCCCGTTTCGGCTTGAATTGGTAGACCTTTTCGATAGGGATGAGCCGAAATTTGCCGGTTGACGCATCCACCGAGGGCTCGTAGATCAAGGCGGCGTTGGAACTCACGGAGCCGATTTGATGGTGTCCAATGAAGCAATGCTTGTTTTCGAAATCTTCAAGATGCCATGGCAGTTTCTCTTCGTAGTTGGTCTGGATCCGTCGTTTCTGTTCGGCCGAGAAGTCGGGTCTGAAGACTTGTTGGGTTTTCTTTTTAAAATTCAACTTCTTGCCAGTATTTTGCGACGGGGCTATTTGCGCAAGGTTAGCCTCGCGCTCTTTCTGCCGAGCTTCCTTCCGCCGGGTCAGATCTTCTCTCTCTGCGGCGGTGAGGCCATCCTTTGGTTCTGGTTTCTCTTCCTCTTTCTTTTCCTTCTCTTGGCCCGGAGGGGGAGCGCGAGGGTCGCGTCGATGCAGACGAACTGGTTTCGGGAACTCGGCTTCATTACGAATGTCTATGGGTTTATCACCAGCCAGCTGGAGGATATGATACCTGAGGCTATTGAGGAGATCTCTCTTTGTCGTCACCAATTTGTAGTCCGTATAGGATATCCCTTCGGCCGCGACTCGGGGGTCACTGAAGCCGCTCACACGCTCGCGATCCGGAATAACTGCTTTGGAAGGAGAGGATGGGCGTGGAGGGAGCGCATTTAAAGATTGGGGCTTGGGTGGTAGATGACCGTTGACGTTCACCGGAGGCGTAAGGTGGCCATTCAGTTGAGGCTTGGTGCCGGCAGGATTGTTCCTGGGACCTTTAAAAAAGGGATCAGATGCTGGCTTCTTGCGTCTGACCATAGGAGGAGCGCCAGGAGGACGAGTTGCAGGCACGCTAGACGGGGCGGAACCTGGATTCATTGCTGCGTCTGCGCTATCGGGGCATCAGTGAAGATGGATGCAGAAAGAAAGGTATAAGGGGTCTTTTGGGATGACTCAGTGACTGGTGAGTCTGGGATAAAGAGAATGGTCGGTGGTTGATGGAGATGGCAGAGACGCAGTGGTGCCAGCAAGCCCTGAAGCGGCTGTGGTGTTGTGGATAAAATGCAAGGGCAGCTTCAGGTTTTGCCGTCATACACACGCCTGCCCCCGCTAACTTCCTTAGGCGCCAACTGCTAGGCTACGAGGGCTGCTCGGCCGGCAGGTGGGTGCCAAGGCACTTAGCCCGATGACCCCCAGGCGGCTGTTCGTGGGGGCGTTTAGAGTTTTCCTGCCATCTAACCGCGGGCGGCTGTCGGCTTGTCGCACATGCGGTTTCACAGGCAATGACGAACACTTAGATTCACTCACGCACCCACCCTCTTTCATCCATCCATTCACATTCACTTCGCAGCCTGACGAGCTTTTCATTTCATCTCAAGGGGCTCTTGATAGACGCGACCAACTTGTCACTTACGGAGAAAGCCCTTCTTCCACTTCTGTCCCTTTCCACCCCTCGTGATACGCTGCTGATGGATTCACCTCTTCCTTGTCGATGTCAGATCCGACACGTATCCTTGTGAGCTCCATCTGAATCTTGCTCGCGGTTCATCAAGAACAGCATGGATTCACCAGGGGATCAGTCTGGCTTCTCTCCTCACGTCTGGAATCGACTCCACGAGCTGGCTCAGCATCCGCCACCTCGTGGACGAGGCAGCTATCACCGTGGCCAAGGTCAGACAAGAGCTGCCTGGTTACACCAAGATCAACAGGACCAACAAGAACACCATCGATGGAATCTCCCATTCACTTCCAGTGCCGATCATTTTCCGGCCCTACAACCACCCCCTCGTGGAAGTGGGAGAAATCACGCCCCTATTTCCCGAACACCCCAGTATCCTCTGGAACCTCGACCCCAGAATTTCAACGATGCACGACATGGCACTCCGAGAGAGTATCAAGAACGTGCAAGAGGTAATTATCGAGGTCTTCGCTCCTCCGGTCCACAGCAACGTCGGTCCCAGCATATTTCCCATTCAGAACACACGCCACAGTCCATCAACCCTGCCGCGTTCCACGCAGATGGGCGACAAGTGGGGCATCACCATGGGCAACTTTACAGTCCTAATGACAGCATGCACTTGACTACTGAGCAACAACATCGATCCATCAGACATATGGTCATGATGCAATCAGATTATCTCAACGGCGTTGGCAGAAGGGCGTATGACGTACACAGGTTTAGGCAAGAGGAGAAGGACATCAAGGAGAATTTCCGGCAAACTTTGGAGAGAGTTGCGAGACAAGCATTAGGTGCCAGATACCCTGACTTGGAGCCAGACAAGGTTAAATTGAAATGCTACGGCAGTCTTGCCAACGGCTTCGCACTGGCAGGATCAGACTTGGATCTGCTCTTGTCATTGCCTGAATATGAAGGGCCCAAACCAGAAGTCAATGCGATGCCTACAAGTCAATCTGAGATCACATCGGACGACCGGCAGGAAGGGCAGGGCTTCAAAGCTGACATTCGTCGAATCTTGGAGAAAGCCTTCCTTGACCATGGGTATGGAGCCAGACTTCTCACGCAGACGCGCGTCCCAATCTTGCGCGTCTGTCAGAGTCCAACCCCAGAGCTGCTCCGCAATCTGCGACAAAATCGCGCCGCGTGGGACATGTCTCGCGATGAATCAGGTATTATCGAAACCGATCTTCCAACGTCAGACGACGCCCCTGCAGAAGCCGATTCGGTTCAACAAGCTTTGACCGACCTCAGTCTTGCAGCGACTGCACCTGCGAAGCAAGGCCGTCATGGTAACGCAGGTCTGGAGTTTACCGAGGATTGCGGCATTCAGTGTGACATTAATTTCGCCAATTTTGTGGCTCTTCACAACTCGGCCCTGCTGCGAACCTACCAAAGTTTCGACTCGCGGGTCAGAGAAGTCGGCATCTTTGTAAAGATCTGGGCCAAGGCAAGAGACATTAACACACCCTATCGCGGCACTCTATCTAGTTATGGCTGGATTATGATGGTACTTCACTACCTGATGAATGTCGTGAATCCCCCCGTCATTCCCAATTTACAGTATCTCGCCAAGATTGACGACTCATGGTATCCGGATAGACCAATTGAGTTGTTCGAGGGATTCGATGTCCGATTCGTCCAGGATTCCAAAGGTTTGAAAGAAGCTCAAGAAGACGTGGCTGCAAACCGAAATAAAGAATCTGCAGGTCAACTGCTTAGAGGCTTCTTCCAGTACTACGCAACCTATCAAGGCTTTCATTGGACCCGGGATGTTATCTCGATCAGAACAAAGGGTGGTCTTATATCCAAACAAGCCAAAGGATGGACTGAGGCGAAATGGCAACAGACAGGGAAGACATCAGTCCGTCTTCGCTATCTGCTTGCAATCGAGGATCCTTTCGAAATCGAGCATAATGTCGCACGCACTGTGGGACATCATGGCATAATCGCCATACGGGACGAGTTTCGCCGAGCGTGGTCAATCATCAATACAATCGGCACCGATCAGGAGATTCCCGCTGGGGAATTTCTCACTCCCGTCACGGAGCGTGTTGATACGCTGAAAAAAGATCTGGAAGGCCGCAAAGAAAGACAAATGCAACTGAGGCAAGAATTGGAGGCTAAGGAAAAAGCATTGCTTCGGAAAGGGGATGAGGAAACCCCTGATCCATATACAGATGGTACGTTGGGAGATTCTGATCTGGGGAAATCCGAGACCCACCTGCCTCAAGAGAGCAAAGTCTACCCGTCAAAGTCGAAGCTGACCTCGACAACGTACCCCCAGGACAGGAACAGACGAGTGAAGCCAAAGAGATGGCGATACAGAAAGGTATCAGTCGACAGTGATGATGGCGAAGAAGACGAGAATTCAATCAATGATGCACGAGATAATGCAAAAGAGCACGACAGTACTCATAACGCTGCTCCACAAACTAAAGCCGAGCCAAAGGAATGGAACGAGGGACTCACTTCACGGTCAGAAGTGCTCTTCGCCAATGGCTATGATCTTGAAGGGAACCCTATCGCTTGGGATATTGACACCCGAGATGGACGCTGGCTCGCCTGGAGAGACCGGAAGGTAAAGAAGGGCACGTTAAAGGAGTTTGCAAATCCCAATCTAAGCAAACTGAACGAAGAGTGTCCTTATGACGCTAGACGACCCAATCCATACATCGGCAAACCATACCGCAACAACTTTGAACACTTAATGCAGAATCCGAGAGCACCCTGGCCGTCAAGCAATCGTGGTAGAGGGAATAGGAGCGAAGCGGCACCCTTCCAGGCTCGCTCTGCCGAAGATAGGGTCGCTGTATCTGGAGCTGAGAGAGATGCTCAGACAAAAGACACGCCCGTGGCAGATGTGGTGGCCGAAGTGGCTGAATCATGTGATGCAAACAACCCCGAGGAGAGCAAGATCGCCTCCATAACAGAGGCTTCAGCGAGGTTAGTAGGGCCAAACATCCCGTGGGACACAAGTACTTTTGGTGGCCGCTGGCTTCGATACCGAGACCGAGCCATACGTGCCGGAAGGTGGGAACACCATCGGCACTCTAAATACGCCGAAATTGATCTTGCGTTTCCTTACAACCCGGAAATGACATGGGCAGAAATGGCGAGAAAGAATCAGCTATTGGAACAGTACTACAAGCACACTATTTTCCCGACCAAGCAGCGGAATACCTTTTCTCGACGCTTTGCAACAGTCTCGCCTACAACTGAAGTCAACGAACGGGCTCCATCATCCGGGGGGGGCCAGCCAGCAGCATCTCAGAATCAGACAAAGAGTCAGAAGTCAAGCCACCATTATTCAGTATCAGCAGAAAACACTGCACAGGGTGGCAGTTGTTCTTTCGTCTGTTCAAGTTCTGCTCAGATTGATCCGTTGCCAGACAAGCCGCCTTCCTCCGACAGTCACCCTTCTCACGCTACCATCTCCGAGAGTGCGCCGACAACACCACCTGGTGGTTCTCGGAGTCCAAAATTGGATTTTCTACGCACCAAGCGGCTCGCCTTCTTTTCGAAGCTGACGACTCCGTCGAAGAATAAGGGCGACACAGATGTCCAATTTTATTCCAAGCCAGCTATTGCGAGCGAAGCACCGGAACTGGTCGATGAACAGATCCAGAACCCTCTCCCACGCCGCCCAGGACTCGCTGAAGAAGTGAGCTTTGGTGGGGATTCTCGTCACGACATGGAAGCGAAAGGCCACCCTAAAGAAGGGGCCAACCAGTCATATCATGCCGGCAACGAGTTGTCCCTTCCAGCATTGGCGACGGATGAGAGCCAAGGCACGGACAATTCATCCCTTCAAGTCCCGGCGACCCTCTATCCTGACGTCGACAGCAGCAGACGACCTAGAGATGAAGACCCTAACGTTATGCCCATCCCCCGATATCTCGGCTTTCGTTTCGACCCACAGCAGTTAGCGGATCTAGCCACCATCGCAAAAGGCGGCAATGGATGTGCACGGGGAGGGGCGCAATTTCGAATTGAAGAAGAGGAATACGAATGGGGCGGCGGAGGGATGATGGGATGGAAGACGAGTAGCGGACCGCAGCTTGCTGGTGCGAGTGGCGGTCATCCACCGTACGAGAAAGCTGGTAGAGGAGACGAAGAGGGTTTACTTGAGGAGCTGCCGAGGGGCTTGGATTGATGTCTTAGTACAGGACATTCTGGGGAGAAAGACGTCATGCTCATCAAGGTTCAAGAAGTCCATCATTATTATTTCTGGTATTATTAGACGGCGATTGGGATAACCACCGCCAGCTGGATAGCAGAGCGTGGTTGGATTATCGTTATTATCGGGGATAGGCCAAAGATTTAGAGACGATAGGTGATAGGCGATAAACTACCCAGTATAGAGCGAGATATCATTAGCCTCAGAGCGGCGAACTATGGCGTGATCTTTCAGAACGTCCAAAGAGTCCGGTCGAGACGTTGCACATATTACGAAGACAATCGCACAGGTTGATGTCGCCAGATGCATCAGAGTAGATATTCAAACAAAGTACCCCCGTCAGAGAACGCGGTTGTAAAACGCCAGTGCCAGTAACGGAATCTTAAACTATTCCTAGGTACCTAGGAGGGAATCATACATCATTAAATGGCCCACAAAAATCTCGTCGCAGAGGAAGACAGCTCATCTTTCCACTTGCCTGATGAGCGGGATTCAAAACAACTGGTATCGTCTAACTCGCGATACAGATATATATATGTATATATCTTAGAGGTGCTCAGCAGCGTCGAAGCGGCCGCTATATCAAACGTAAATGACAGAGCACCGCTATTTCCAAAGGCTGACAACAAATTTATTGTAAATGAACGGCGCCTTTGATGTAGTGGTGAATCACTTTACCCTTTTTTAGGCCGATTGTCCTGCGTTGTTCTTGACAGCAACATTATTAGAAGCCAGGATTTCCGTAGGTTTGATAGGGTTGATTCTGAGTCTGTAGCGGCGAGATTCCCATGTCGAACCCACCGAGGAATGGATTTTCTTCCACACCGACAAGAGCCTGCATCGAGGAAAACGAATCAGGCAATTGGCCTGATGTCCTGAAGCGAGGTTGATGAGTATAGTTGAAGGTCCGGATGGATTCATCCAGGATTTTCTGCGCTTTCTGCTTTTGTCGGGCGTCGAGGAACGGCACATTCCCCTTGAGTGCTTCATCGTCCCAACGAGTGCTGAATGCAACTTGCAATGCAGGAATCTCTGCCGAAGGGAAACTGATTGTCCCCTGGTGGATACCATCAGGAACATCGGTGTATCCCGGAAAGAACAGCTTCCACCACTCAGCCCACTTTTGAGGTGGCCTTAGACTGGGATTATTGTATATTGTGTCCATCTCTTCATATAGATCAATCCCAATCTCGAACCTCGAGCCGGCGTAGAGGCCAGGCGTGCAAGCTGACGGTTCCTTTTGTCGCTGGTTGAGGTGCACCGCATCAGCGCGTCTACCACTGAGCTTCAGCCCATAGGTTTCACACCCGTAGTGGTGCTTCCGAAAATGTTCCCAAAGATGTCGGAATTCAAGACCGTCTTTTGCGCAACCGGGATTGGTGCCCATATCGCCAATAGGCCTTCTGCATAGAGGGCAGTCCCATCTGATTTGTTTGCCACGCGTCCTTGGCTTCTTAGGTTCTTTAGGCCGCTCATCCTCGTCATTATTACCATCTTCATCCGCCTCATCACTCGTGGGGGCTGTGCGTTTGCTTCCGCCACTTCTACTTGAGCGTGTCGTAGCAGGCGAGGATGATGGCTGGGTCGACTGTGGTGAAGACGAGGAAGGTGCATTGCCAGATCCAGCTGTGTGTTGCCTGAGGCCTTCCAGATGGGAAAATCTTCCTTCGAAAGCAACTTCTGGTGGGGAGCTTGCGATCGCGCCAACAACTGAACGGGCATTTTCGGGACCAAAGAATGCCTCCAGTTCATCCACCATGCTCATCTCTGAATCTAAGATGGCATCGTCATCTCCGTCACAGGTGACTTGATCATCGTCACGTGGACGAACTGGCCAGCAGGTCTTGATTGAGGAAGTGCTGAGGCACTTCGCTCCCTGTTTGAGATTGTCGGATAAGTTCGGTACATTCAGGCGGGCGCAGGCCTGCTGAGAACCGCGACATTCCGCATTGGAAATGAGCAAGGGAGCTGGGTGCCCGCCTGCCACAACGGATACCCCATTCCACGGTGGTGAAGTGTCAGTAACCTGAATATGGGGCGGCTTGAGTGTATGAGGTTGTGGGTATTTGATTGTTGTCGGCCCGGTCAGGCTGGTCGTCGGCTCCTGCACTCGGCGGCCAGAGTGCACGCCTGTTAGGGCAACTGAACATCTGTCGTGGTCAACCCGAGTCGTAGCAGGGAAAAGGTGCTTTGCGGTGGGGTTCGCGTCGCAGAGAGCCTGCAAGAGGGATTGATTCGAAACCGTTTGCGCACCGACATGGAGGATCTCCTGCTCTCGATCGGTTGATTGCTCGTCGTACGTCTCTGCCTCTGCTTCTGACAAGCCGGGTACGAACATCTTGGGTCTTACAACATGGAAGTATTCGTCGGCAAACGAGTCTGCACTCGAGGAGTCAGAGAAGGCGAGCGATGGTGCCTCGCTCAAGCTTGAAATCTGAGCGTCACTGTCGTCTGACTTCTGGCTTAGGCTGTGGTGGCTTGGGAGTCGGTTCAGAATATTCGCATAAGCTGACAATTCTTGAAAGCTAGCGCGGGAGATAGGCATGATAGAGGGCTCTGTGGATTGAGCCATTGGACATACATGGCCCAGGTCCAGATATTCTCCTCCATCTAGCTCCAATGAAGTATGCCACGAGCCATTCCCATGCAAATCGTCTCCCTGCGGATAAATTGCCGTGCCATCCATTTGAAAGCAGGGATACTCCTCGGGCAATGCCTCCAAGGGGGTCGAATTGGGCCGGGACTCTGACAGCTCGTAGGGGAGGCAAGGTTCCTAGACAGAAGGACGATGGAGGCCAGGCCGAATTGAACAACGACAAGATGGCCGGTATATCGAACGCAGCTAACGTCGTATGTAAAGGACAGAGCACCTCTATTTCCAAAGGTCAACGGGAATGCTCGTTCCCAACGAAGGCCACCTCGGATCTAACAGCGAAGGGGGTTCAAGCGTGCCACTGACTTTTTCAATTCGAATTCAACACATCAGGCAAAACAAGTAACTCGATGCTCCAAAGGCTTCCCTCGTAGAGAAGGAAGAGAAGTCGAAGTGCAAACATGGTGCCGGCGCGCGAGATGTAAGTCTCGGGGGGAAGGAGGGCAGCGCATTGGTGCGCAGGCCGCAGTTGTGATGGCTGCGCAACTGCGCAGGGCATGAGATGAGCGACAGTGGGATCAAGGTGGCATGTACTTGGTACTTGGTACTTGGTAGGGAGTGGCTATGATATCATGTGTTAATACCCAGTACACTGAGACGCCCCGCCAAGTCCTGGTGCGGCTCTGCGGTGTCACGCGGGCCCTGGCAGTGGCTGCGCCTGCCCCTGCGCCTGCCCCTGCGACTGCGACTGCGGGGTCGGAACCTCGTCGACTTTCCAGTGCCAATCGACACTCGGTCATCATCAAAACACCATCGCCATCCCCCATCCCCCATCCCGCATCCCGCATCCCGTCGCCACCATCATCACCGTCGCCGCACCGCATCGCATTCTTTCATCATTCTCGAATCAGACGCCTTGTGCGCAACTGCGCATCGATAACCACGAATGCATTGAAGGGGCGTTGCGCAACTCGACCTCTCTTTGTCGCCCGCTGCCGCTTCCTCCCTGCGACGATGGACGCTGCTGCTTGTCGCTCGCCAATGCTGGCCGGCGCTCGTATACAGCTTCATGTAGACGCGCTGTGCCATTGAACCTGTCGCACTCGTTGACGCCCTCTCGACGAGGTGCAATGTCGCTGTACAAGTCGACGACGAGTGTGCAAATGCTCGTCCAAGAGGTAAGATGGATAAAAACGCCTTCCTAACCATGCTGCCGGTAAGTATTTCGCTGGTTCCATCAATCAATCACAATCGCAATCCAGAGTCAGAACAGTGCCAGAGCACGAGCACAAGCTCAAGACGAACATGTCCCCAAACCACGCAATTCGACCAGGTCACGATGTCGGCCCTGCCGCGAACGTCAACCCAGTCTCGAGAATCACCTGGCGGCTCATCGTGTGTCACCTCGGGGCCTACTACCTTCACGAGGTGTCCCTTCTGTCCACGGACCGTGGCCCCGATATCATGGCGAAACTTCTTGAAGAATATAAGCACTCCGAGTCTTGGCTTGCCCATTTTGTGCCGTTCATGTTTCCCATGGTTTATGCGGCTGCGCTGGCTGCGGTATGGCCTCTTTCCCTCCTCAATCTTGTCCAAAGCCCTGATGTATCTTTTAGGTCCCCATCGAGAACCTCACCACCACCCTGCCCTGTCTCGTTGACGTTGATGCATTCAACTACTCTCACGTTTTGACCTCGGCCTTGCGCCAGCGACAAACAAGGACCACTCTTCCGCTCACGCCCTCATTTATAACATCCTATGGCCACTTCGCAGTCCTCCCGGAAGCTCCCAACAACACTGTCTCTCGTGACGCAATCTTGATCAAGCTGGAATTGAACAACCTCGCACTGCTGGTGTTTTTGACCTTGGCATTTCTCATGTCCGTTGCTGCCGGCGTTTCTGCTGGGTTGATAAGACAGAGTCTTGATACAGGCTTTGGTGTCTTCGGAGCAGTAGCGGGTGTGGTGGGACTTGTTGAGGGATATGCGACTTGGAAGTTGAAGTAGGGATGGAGGACAAGATGGCAGGAAAGGATCAGGAGAGAAGGGGCAGGAGAAAAGATGTATGTGATGTGGCGTATTTGCATTTGGTCATTTACTCCGATGGGCGACATGTATGTATTTAGACACTGCCTTGTCGTAATCAAATTGGATGGATAGGATACCAGTCACTGATGTCCTCTTCATGGCTCACTCACCTTGTTTGCTCCACTGGCTGAATATGTAGAAGCAGCCTTGGCGAAGGACCCGTCCTATAATGTCTCCTACCTAGGTGGCGAGGTAGAGACCTCCTTGTACGGATCCCGCCCCCTTCGGCAAGTATGAATGTACATCGGGGAGCTGTGATGAAATGCGTCAAGACCCTGTGTAGCCCCTTGTTTTCAGGAATCAAAAGGTGCAACAAGGAGATGAAAAGTTGAGTCAGATGACGTTGTTGCGTCGGATCAAACAGATCAAGCCGATCCGAGACATTTCGCGGCGCCATGAGCCCAACCTCGCGAGGTGTGATACTAGAGTCGGTCCTCGAACGGGGGTGCTCAAATTCCGCAATTCTTCGGGATAAGGCCTTAGCGTCGGTGAAATACACACCTCCGCAGGGGTCATCCAAGTGCTCTCCAAACGGGCCTCGATATGGCAGGAAAGTTGCGTACCGAAGAGATGCAAGGTGCGAAAGGGCAGATCATGTCTATTCTGCCTGAAAATCCCGAAGACGTCCCGGATTCGCAAGGTTTTATATGGAAGGGACGCCGCAAGGTATTATAAAAGCGAGCGTGGCAAGTATCCAAGGTGTGCAAGTGCATGGGCGACAAGAAATGTGGAACTGATGGCGAATTACGACTCGTACAATTTCATAGCCATGATCACTCCAAGGCCGTTGCTTACGATTGCCGGAAGCAAGGCAGATACGTTGAGATTCAGCCAAGAGGCCATAGCTTTGGCGAAAGAGCCGAAAGAGTTGTTTGTGATTTCGAGTAAGACGCATGCGGAACTGTACGATGAGATGGAGGACAGTGGGCCGAATTTGGTCAGCTTCTTCTCACAGGCTTTGAGTTTCAAAGGCACCGCTTAGCTGTGTGAAATCGCCCATATCATTGAGCCAGGTGTTTTCTCCAAGATTGCTCATTTGCGATCAAAAATTCCAATGACATGGATGATGTGAAGACCGCCTTTGTAGTCTAGCCAGTATTAGCCTAGCGCGGAGGAACTGTAAACCTCACAACATGCAGCCGTGGCATGAGTACCGCGTAGGTATCAACCCTGCCACAGATCCTAAGTAGATGCAATCAAGGCCATTGATGAATACGTCCAGAGGATCCACGCAGGCCAGGCGGGTGCTGAAATCATGCACGGAACAAAAGGTGACTTGGAGTTAGCTTGCTATGGACCAGTCATGCTGGTCGTCTCTAATCTTGCTAGTAGTGCAGTCGTGAATGGCCCTGCAATCATTGTCGTTCAAGGAATGCGCCTCATCTGTGCGCATTCGGGCGAAAGACTAGCATCAGGTAAAATGTCCCGCGTGCAATGGACGTCAATACTCCGGTTCAGCTGATGGGTAGTCGAAGTTCACCAAGTTGCAAAATTAACACGCCACCGACCTCGTCAACACTCATGGGCGCCTCAGTTATGAATGCTGACGCCGGCTTGAAAGCTTGGGGGGATATGCCTGATCACCAATATTACTCCAGTCTTGAGACCCTCTCACAACAGGTGAACACCTGATAGCATATTTGGAATTACTGGGTATTGCTGATCCCGTTCAGACTCCTAGCAAACATCCAACTTCCGTGAGCAACGCTCAACTCGAAGAAATTGCACACGTGCTTTCGATCATTCCTCCACGGTCCTTGACAGGGGCAAGCCCATGTTCTTCCTATTTTGAGCCACACGTGCTAATGATCAGATATGCTCGTGGAGAACTTTTTGCATAGCGTCAACTATTACTACTACGCCATATACCCACCACAATTTCTTGAAGAATATTTCCGATGGTGGACAGACAGGGCGGGCAACCAGAACCCTTCCCTGGAGTTCACCTGTCTCCTCTTGCGAGTCTGTTCACACTCCGCACAGTATCTGGACGAATCGAAAAGGATGCGAATCGAAAGGGAGCTTTCCGAAAGTGACCAATCTCTCAGTGAGCGCTGCCACCATACTGCCGAAAGGCTGAGTCATACATTAGGTCCGGGTGTTGGCGGCTTGATACCGGTCCAACAGCTTTTTGTTACTGCATGTTGGTTCAAGTTTGAAGCTCGCTTTGTTGAGTCGTGGCACGCCTTAAGCTCCGCGATCCGCGAGGCACAGGAATTAGGTATGCATAATGATTCCATCTCCAGAGGATTGACCGATTTCGACCTTGAAATGAGGAGGCGGGGTCTGGTGCGTTCTTTACATATGGGATTGGTGAATTGACACAGTTTAGGCAAGCACTAGCTCACCATCATCAAGGCAAATATCAACATGGCTTTCGCGGCCCCGGCTTATTGACCACGGCAGCTGCTCCTTTGAATTGCCCAATTGTCGACTCGAAGAATCAGATTCTCAACGAGGCTTGGTTTCGCCATTCACGCACGTGAAACTCTACCGTCAAATTGCCCGGGAGTTGTCTGCGAAGTTCAGAAAGGTCAATAGTGATCCAGGACCAATCTTGGAGGAGCAGAAAGAGATTGAGGCTTGGATGAATTCCTTTCCTCCTAACATGGTGCTTCTTTGATACTGCTACTATTCTATGCTCGGTTGTGATGCATGACGGAAACACCTGCCGACTTCCGCAACGAGACAAAATCCTCGAAGCAATCAAGTTTGCTCTTGGAAGGCTGAAACAGCTCAGTTATGCATCAAGTGCCGGTGCTTTATCACACGGCATCCTTTATAAGCTTGTGGCTGTTTAACCTTCGTCCGCTGGCCAATGGCCACTTGTGGATTTAGAATCCTACACCACAGCAAATGATTCCGTCAGTAACCACTCCGAAGTTCAGATCGAACATGGAAATTTCATTCGCAGGCCACGGAATCTTGACAGATGATTTCCAGGATCTCAAGAGTGTGGAAACGGGCTCAGTTGGTTACTCATCGCAAACCTGGCAGAGCATGGACGGACTATCATCCTCCAGAATGGACAGTCTCTCGGATCTTCTAAGCGTCGAGCTTGGTCAACTAGGAGAGATCTGAAACTGGGATATGCTCAACCTCGATCCGAATTAAAAAATGGCTGCAAGCATTGTACCCAGTAGGTCCCCATCTGAAGCGCATTGCCAAGGATTCGAGTCTGATCCCAAGAAGTGACGTGTAGAAAGTTCCAACAAGGGCTTGGACATCCCCTATGCCTGTACTTGTAGATAAAATTGGCTGAAAGGCGAAGTCAAGGTTGGGGTGAGGACAGGGCGGCATCACCTGTCGAGCTGTGTCCCAATCCATGTGACTCAATGGAGGACATGGGGACCTGCCTGACATTCCCTGTACCAAGTACTGAGCACTTGTTTGGTAATTACACGAGGGTATCGACGCTAGCCGTCACTAGTCCAGAGGCCTTCGCAAGGCCTTCGATGTTGGGTGGACTTGGCTGGAGGACTAGCGTGACGGTCTTTACATGTCTTGGTCTACTGGGTCAGTCACATCCAGGGTGAGGCGCGATCACGTTTCACTGTTTCATCGTTTCATCGTTGGCAGCAGAAGCGCTCGCTTGTCGAAACCAGGAGGAGGAGGAACCTTCCCCTATGTACCCAGTACTCGGTAGAGTCGTAGAGACGACGTTTCTTCTTTAAGCTCTCCTCGATAGGACTTCCCCCCCCCCTTCTATATTCTAGATTGCTGCGTCTGGACTTTCTTTTCTCTGCTATCTGGCCGGCTCCAGACTACGAGGTATTCCGGTGCCAATCCTTCGCAAGTGCGATTGGTCATTTTATGCAAGAGCGAAGCCCATACGAGGACAATCTCCCAGAGTCGCCAAAACGCCAACTACGAGTCTTTGAAGAACAATAGACTTGTGGTATTTCGGGAAGCTAGGTCCCTATATCAGTCCCCTTGGGGAAAAGAAAAAGAACAAAAATAGAAAAGACACAGGGGTAGCAGAATCATGGTGCTAAAGCCGCCAGGACCATCACCAAAAGCCCCCAATCCCGCTCACAATCAAGATGTGGTCCAGCAGCAGCAGCAGCATCACCAGCCCAACCTATCGTGGTCCCGCCACATCACGCTGGACCTGATCCTGTTGATCTTGGCCAACTCGATCTTCCACCCGTGGATCACGCTGGTCTTCTACCTGTGCCTGGCCGCCGTGCACAAGCACAAGGAACCCCTCGCCTACTACACGCTGTACTACACGGCCTTCCTGGCCGTGGTCGAACTGTCCCTCTGGTTCGACCGCCGCATCACGCACGGCAGGCACAGGAAGGTCGACTGGGAAGGCGAGGTCGTGGTCATCACCGGCGGCGCGTGCGGCCTGGGCAGAGTGCTGGCCGAGATGGTCTTGAGGAAGGGCGCCAAGGTCGCCGTGCTGGATGTCCTCGAGCCTGATGAGGAGGCGCGCGAGGAGATGGAGCGGTGGGATCTTGTTTGGGAGGTGGTCGATGTGAGTAAGGCGGAAGATGTGAAGGAGGCGGTGGAGAGGGTAGTTGACGGGGTAGGTTGCACCGTTCTTCAATCTATTTCCATTTATTGTTTGTTCCTGGGCTCACGATGGATATCAATCAGCTCGGCCCTCCAACTATCCTCATCAACAATGCAGCAATGCCCATCAATGGACTCCCTCTGCTCTCCCCATCATCCAAGGAATTGTTAGCATCAACCCTATCCCCTCAGCAAGTCACCAAAACCATCACAACGAATGCCCTCGGCCACTTCACCATGCTTTCCGTCCTCCTCCCTCATCTTCTCTCCTCGCCCCAGGGCGCCCACATAGTAACAATCTCCTCCATCCTCTCACATCTCGCCCCGGCTAAACTGGCCGACTACAACGCGTCAAAATCCGCCGTTTCAGCCCTGCACAGCACACTGTGCCACGAACTCAGCACCCATCCTGACCCGTCTGTCTTCCACAAGGTGAAAACGATCCTCGTCGAACCAGGTCAGCTATCCACTCAACTGTTTGCGGATATCACGCGTGTGCCGTTTTACACCCATTTCTTTGGGCCAGTGTTAGAGGCCAAGGACGTGGCGAAGGAAATCGTGCGGTGTGTGGAAAGAGGTGACGGCGGCGTGATTCGCATGCCATTTTATGCCAAATGTGTGCCCTTTCTGGGGGTGATGCCGGGGGCTGTCCAAAGAGTCGTGCGGTGGTGGAGTGGAATCGACCGGGCGATTGTCACAAGGGAGAAGAAGGCCTGAGAAGGCATCCGTGCCGTCGGGCTTGACGGAACTCGGAATGAACGAGTCTGTTGTACAATATGCCAGTATTTCGAAGATTGTCGGCTCTTATCTCCAACTCGGTTGATTTGTCCGCGCTTTAATACGCTTCGCGAGAATAGTGCCTGTGCGTTCCTTGTCCGTCTCGTCCAGTCTCATTCTGGCTATCAGACGCATGATGGTGGTTCCCTAATCATCATCATGAATCGTGATCCCAGTCTCCTTCACCACTTCCGCCACGCCAAAGTCTGCGCCTTGCTCCTCTTCTTGACTCCCTTTTGGTGGTATTTGTAATCCATCCACTTTCCGCTTAGCACCTTGCGCCTCTCCATCGTCAATAGGCTTCTTTGTTCCATTCACGGCGTCATCCATCTTTTTCTCCTTGTCCTTTTTTCCCTTCCTCCGGCTCCTGCGCTCTCGATTCTTTCTGGTCTTCTCCTCATCCCTCTCCCTCTTCTCCCTTTCCTCTCGCTCCCACTTCTCGTTCTCCTCCTCTGTCTTGGCCTCTTCATCCATGGCGCGCAATCTCTCATATTCTCTCCGTCTACTCGCCTTGTACACGTGAAATTCGCCCGAGCCCGCACCCGCGCTGGATCCTTGGACGTTCGCAACGATTTCCGCCGGCGCGGGAAGTGATTTTTTTGTGGCGCTCGATGGAGGGGGCAAGTGAACGGGCCGTGAAGGGTCTAGAAAGAGATATTCGAGTTCATGGGCCTGCTGCGAGGCCGCGCGGACGTTGGGGTTGGAAGAGTAGGCACCGCGAGCGCGTTTGAGCGGGCGGTGCGAACGAGGATCAGCAGAGGTAGGAATTGATTCCGGTATAGGTTCAGACATTTTTGCGCGGGGGAGATGCCAATGCGCGTAATTTGAATAATCAAGCCGCGAGTTGAATGTGCCCGGATGCACCGAGAAAGAAAATCCTATATCAGAAGAAACGGCTCGCGGCGCACCTGCAGAGTGACGTACGGACGACGAAGTGTCTACCGGTACTGCGGAGTGCTTTCCTCGCTCGTCGGCTCGTTGGTGGCAAGGGAGCGGATGATCTGCAGTAGCTTCTCGCTACGGCGACGCAGAACGCCGCACCTCTCTATTTTCTGGAACAATCTTGAGCAATTCAAACTTGACGGCTCTATGATATAGAATGGCGACGCATGGGTATTCTTCACCAGCCACTGAAACCTGTTCAAAGCTAGGATCACCCATACCGGTGCTTATATCTTCCCATGGACCCACGATAGAAACACGAGCCCCATTGGACTTTAACCCTTGCTCTCGCTCATGCTGTGGACCAAAAAAACATGTGATAGCTCCTGTTGGCATTTTGCGCTATAATGACTGCGATCATTGAGTATCTAGTGATTGAATACAAAAGCGCCGGGCTCTCAGCATGGCAAAAAACGGTTCGGCAACATGCTTCAAAAGAACATATGAGGTAACCACTACCCCCAGACCATCTCAGAAACTAAGCTCACCAACTTTAGAATGCGCTTAGACTTCTCGAGACCAGGAGAAGGAAAGTAAGGCCCAAGCATGTCGCCAACGCCATTTCCAATCCTCATGCCACCGACAAAACCTACACTGAAGCACGTTCGTCTCTGCGCGGGACACCGAGCATTACAGGCATGAGAAACTGGCTTCAGAAGATAGGCTATACGGTATGTCGTCGAGGCTCCTGTTCAACGCTAGTAATGCTCATAATGACAACTACTGAAGGACAACGATGTAGCAGCCTTGAACATTGTCCACGTGGCTGGGACAAAGGGCAAAGGCAGTACTTGTGCCTTCACTCAATCCCTCTTACAAGAATGGGGCAAAAGAACAGGATTTCCAACCAAAATTGGCCTCTACACTTCCCCTGATCTTACATGCATTCGAGAACGGATCCAAGTTAACGGGCAACCTATCTCAGAGGATTTGTTCACCAAGTACTTTTTCGAAATCTGGGATCGGTTGTTCACACAAGAGGATAGAATCGTTGGCGACGATGAAAGGCAGCCTCGATATCTGCAATTCATTGCTTTGCTAGCCATTCACACCTTTTCTCGGGAAGGAGCCCAAGCAGCCATCTTCGAGACCCATCATGGTGGCGAGTATGACGCTACAAATGTTGTCTCTGCACCCGTAGTGACCGGAATAACCTCCATCGGCCTAGATCATCTGGCCCAGCTTGGGCCCAGCATTGAGGACGTGGCTTGGCACAAGGCAGGTATCTTCAAGAATGGATCCCCTGCTTTCTCTGCTCCACAGCTTCCCGCGGTCGAAACCGTGTTACGATCTCGGGCAGTTGAAAAGGGCGTCCAGTTTGAAGTCGTTCCAGTCAATCCTTCTCTCCCTCTCCATGCAAACGTGTTGCGTGCGCCGGTGCAGCGAATGAATTGTTCCTTGGCCATCGCGCTGGTCAACGCCTTCCTCTCCAAAAAGAGCCCTAGTGAGGAAACGAAGCTTAGCGATCAAGATATCGCGAGAGGTATCGAGAACTTCTCATGGCCGGGCCGATTTGAGGTTATCAAAACATCCAGATGTACTTGGTTCCTCGATGGAGCTCACAATGAGTTGAGCATTGGGCAAGCGGTTGAGTGGTTTGCTGGGATGACGATGGCTTCTTCTGAGCGGGATGTTTTCCAACAAACTTCCCCGTGCATGATCATCTTCTCCCATATGTCGGAAGAGCGAGATGGCCCGTCGTTGTTAAGAGCCCTGGCGACTGCGGTCGAGCGGAGTGACATACGGTGTTCTGAGATGGTGTTTACAACGTACCAGGAACGACGTGATGGGAAGATTCGACCCGGTAGGCAACTTGTTGGTCTTTAGGATTTCGTGCTGACAGGAATCAGATAAGACTTTGAAACCTCCGGAAAACTCGCTGGCAGATCTTCCTAAACAATACTGCGACCTATGGAGGGCGATTCATCCCGCTGCAAGGACCAGGTACATACCCTCCATTGAAGAAGCATTGGGATATGCACACAGTGCCAGCTTTCAAAGCGGCGGTTTGCAAGTTTTGGTGACTGGCAGCTTGCACCTGGTCGGTGGCGCACTTTACTTGCTGCAGCAGTGGAAAACAGACGAGCATTGATCGGTAGGGCCACAGCAGTTGGACGATCTCGTGATTTTGGAGATGGTACAGATAAACGGCCACTTTGGTGTTTAGGAATGAGGACCCATCACCAAAATGGCCAGACATCTTTCATCCGGAAAACTCGACGGCCCATCCAATGATAGGCCCTTATCACTGGTTGTTCACCTGAAGAAGTCCTTTTTCAACAAGCAGATGCGGCATATTCACGTTTAACCGGGACCTTACTCCGCCGGTTTTTGCTGACTGGTCTTAAGGCTCTTTTCGTGTAGAAAATGGCGTTCCGAAGACTGGCACGATTATTACCACTATTGCCGCTGCATGTCAAGAATCATGCGAGATTTCTCCTTCTACTTCGCCAGAGCTCAATTGGAGAGACTTATCGATGGCAGCGAAAGCAAATACAACTCCAAGGAGTCCCAGACTGATGTTACAATCACAGAAGGCAATAGTGATAGAGGGTACAGTGACACGCAGGGCTTTCTGAATATGCCATTTCTATCGTTCACCAAACTGGATGCCGCCGTGACACTAGAGGATGCAGCTTCACAAATCAATAGCCAAAAGACCAGAGGAAGAGAGTGATTGTGAATGTTGTGCAAGTCCTATCAATCTGTGCTAGTTTCGCTTCGTCAGCCTCATTGAAGCTGGGTGGCACCGAGGTGGGAGGCCTGGTCAGATCACTGTTTGCTCTGGACGGAGGACTCGTTCTCGTACTTCGAGTTGCCCGATTTTGGCCAAATCCCCCTGACCGCTTCTGAGGAGCTTGTCATGCCTTGCTACTACCTCCAAGCAGTAAGCGCAAGCAAATCTCACTAACTTCCGGCTTTGGGGGGGATCCCGCGAGCCGAGGCTTCGTTCAGTCAGCCTTTCTGTGGGGTTGGATATACCCGACGATGACCGAGTTCTGCCATGGGAACTAATTACCTCCTCTACTCATCGTCAGGTAGGGAGTTGGTTCGACATCGGTGTCGCTTTGAGTTCAAGACGCCCTGTGTTGTCATTGTCTTGTGTATGTGGTCGTTGTTCCGAACTTCTTCTTACTCTTGTTCTCGTTCTTCCTCACCAGTCCTCTCCCCCTATCAGTAACCGCGCGTTCCCATCTCTCTGTCCTCTCGATTCTAAAACCAGGGCTGCTGTCAGCATATACGTAGTATCCGCGTACGCCGTCTTGGGGCAAATCCCAACCAAGCAAGCAAGCATGGCGACTGCAAGCAAGTACAAGTACACGGATATCATCTTCGAGATCAAGGGCAAGATAGGCATCATCAAGGTCCGTCCGGTCATGATGAATGGGACCCAGTCTTCTTTTCCTCTCTATTTCTACCTCTAACGTCACGTCTCTGCACAGTTCAACCGGCCCAAATCCCTCAATGCGTTCGGCGGCAGCCTCCTCGGGGACACGGTGTCAGCGCTCCGCGAGCTCAATGAACATCCCGACACCGTCTTTACCGTCCTCACCGGCGAGGGCAGGTTCTTCTCGTCGGGCGCCGACGTGAAAGGTACGTTTCACCTCGGGCCCCATTCCAGTATTTATTCATTTCTTTCCTTTTTTAGACCTGACCCTGCTGCAGGAGAGGTCAGGGGATGTCATTTGTTCTGTCTACTAAAGCCACTTTTTTGCGAATATCAGACTTGATGCTGAACAATATGCAACTTGTAGCGGCCGCTGGTAGACAAACCGTCGAATACGCGAACCCTGCGGCGAAGAAGATCGACTTTATGGCGAGTATCAGCACCGGTAAGATTCAATTCGACCCAAGCAAACCGCAGCCTACAGTGGATATTCGACTAAGAGGGAGTATCTGCGTCTAGCTATCGAGCTCCTCCGCTCTATGATTGACCACAAGAAAGTCCTCGTGCTGGCACTCAACGGCCCCGCTGTCGGCGGTGGGGCAGCGTGGTTCGAAGGCATCGCGGACATCGTCCTGGCCGCTGACACGGCATATCTCCAAGTGCCCTTCAGCGCGTTGGGCCTCGTTCCCGAATTCGGCTCCGCGACCGCCTTCTACCACTCCATAGGTGCCCACCGCGCCAATGATTTCCTCATGTTCGGCCGCAAGTTGACCGCCCAGGAGCTCGAGCAGTGGGGGATGGTCAACCGCATCTTGCCCACCCAGGGCTTCCACCAGAAGGTCGTCGACTTCTTGGAGGACCAGCTCAACATCAATGACGGCAAGTCGATGATGGAGACAAAGCGCCTTCAGAACCTCCCGCTGAGGAGGGAGAGGATGCTTGCGGTGTATGATGCCGCAGAGGCCCTGGCAGAGAGATTCGTCGAGGACGCCCCGAAGCAGAGATTTGCCGAGAAGAACAAGCTGTTGCTTGGTAAGTCGAGGGGCGGTGCTTTGTAGTAATAGCAAGGAACTGCTAACGGATTGGTCAGCGAAATCGAAGTCCCGGTCGAAGCTTTGAAGAGACGACTTGCAACGCACTCTGAAAAGGCGAAAAAGCAGCGGAAATCTCAGCGCTGGTTGCCGATTAGTTTGTTACTTAGTCTATCGGAAGAATGGGCTTTTTGGGAAGGGGGGGGGTTGAAAGAAGACTGTGCCGATGTGTCGAGATTTAACTCCTCCTCGCAGTCGTAGTCGCTTCTGGAAAATTGAAGATCTTGCTCGGTATCATGCCCACTCAGGCATTTTAATCTGCCCGCCTTTCGGGTTTGGCGGCCGTAATGATCGCGAGGAACTGAGAGCCCAGCTTCAGCCCAGCCTCGTAGCCTCGTAGCCTTGTATGGGATAGCCGAGGTTCATACACGTCGATCCGCCCAGTGTCCCAAGGCGTCCAAAACATCCAGCTTATTGCAATCCTTCTACAGTACTGTAGACTCACCGCCGATTTCGATCCCTCTTTCAATCCAAATCCACTTGTCAAAGTATCCTACGGGAATTTGATAGCGAGGCGGTGAGAGAGGTTGGATATTGCTGAATACAGTACATGCTGACCGCGCCACTGCTGATCGTCGACTGTCGCTGTTTCCTGTGAGAGAGGCGTTCAGTTGAATCATGGCAAACACCAAGGAATACGACATTCCAACTACTGCTCCAACCAGGCTGAGACAAATTGCGCTCATTGCAGAAGACCTTGACCGCGCTCGAGATCTGTTGGTAGGTGACAACTTCTGTCCTGGCCAGTCAACTCGGACGCATTCCAGCTCACCTTGTGACGATAATATGAAAAAGACAAGGATTCTTGACACGGAAGTTGTATTCGTGGACCCGCAGGTGGCGCGATGGGGTCTGAAGAACTTTCTAGGTATGGGCCCCCCGCTGTCCTGAACGTTGTTACGTTGGTTCTTATGCCCAGTTCTAACCGACCTGCTGTCTCTTATGTAAAACCTAGTGGCTATTGGAGGCGACATCATCGAAGTGTGCTCCCCTTTTAAGCCTGACACGACAGTGGGGAAACTACTTCAAAAACGAGGCGATGGCGGATATATGATCATCATGCAGACCTTGGATGCTGCCGCAAGAAGAAGATACATTGAGTCGAGGAACCTGGCCAAGGTCATCTTCAGCCATCCGCACGGAGATGTCGAGTGTGTCCAGTATCATCCCAAGGGGATTGCTGGTAAGTATGGCGAGTATTCCGGAACCGAGACATACGCAAAGCTTCCCTCCTGCTCAAACAGCTGGTGAGACTGACGCGGCGAAGGAGGGATGATGCCAGAATTAGATTCCCATGCACCGTCGGCCACGAATCCTACTCCCCTGGACAGTCCCTTCAGTCCCTGGCACGCTTGCGGATCGGACTACGAAAAGTACTCGGCTGGGATGAAGCGTTGCGCACACCTGAAGCTGGTCAAGGCAACCCTTCGCCTGAGTCCGGGCAAAACAGACGTCGACGCCGCCGCCCAGCAGTGGCAGGACTTTTTCGGAGTGGAGAAACAGGGGAGCGAGCTAGTCTTCACAAACGCCCGCTTAAACTTCGTGCCGGGAGTGGACGGGCTGCCTGAAGGATTAGAGAGCCTCACTATCGAGGTCAAGGGCAAAGAGAGGCTCGACAAGATGTTGGAGGTGATTCGCAAGGAGGGCCTTTGTGGCGACGGGTGGTCGAATCTGCTGGGCGTGAAATGGTTCTTCGTGCTGCGGGATGACGAGAAGGATAAGGTCAAGGGGAGAGAGAGCAGGCTGTGAGTGTGGAATCACCCTGGATACCATACGAGTGGTAGTGGCGTCAATGGTGGCAGCAGCAACAGCAGCAGCAGCAGCAGGGAGTATTCAGGAGTACTGGGTACCTGGCCGAAGTTACCGCATTCAAGCGTATTCCATCGCATACATGGCATGAATATTGCCGGCGATGGTGGCGATCATGTTTCCGTGCTTGAGTGATGAACATTCCGCGTTTTATGTCAGCTTGTTCCCGCGACGGGCATAGAGCTTCAGCCTTGGTACAGGGGGGAAATTGGCTGGCTGCGTCAACTGAGCTCAACTGCGCTCTTCTGGCTCTCCCCCTGAAATGAAGGCTGAGGCCGGCAGTCGGTGCGGCCAGCCACGTGCTCACGTGGTGCGCAGTCTAGCTGCGTCAGGCGACGCGCATGTCTTTTGTGCGTTTTGAACTTCTCCATCTTACACCACCAGTACTTTTTTTCCGTGGAACACCAGCCACAGCGAGCCAGAACGAGCCCTCCTTGCCATATTCGGGAGCCGACGCGGCCCAATCCAGCTGTTCCACTCTCGCCGTCGCGTCGAGGTAAGCTTTCCTAAGCTTTGAGGGGAGTCTTAACTTCCGCCCGTCAAGCTATCGAAGCCAAAGCTCGTCCCACATATCCTTTAGGCCTCCATCATTCAACCGCATCCCTGATAAGATAATGCGTGCCTGATATGACGACTGCATATGCACCTGAACTTGGACGAGTACGGAGGACAAATCTTTGCTGACGAGAACCCCGAGCCGGCCTCCCGCTGCTCCACGAGACCCGTCAATGATACCGTCGACAAAGGCAGAGTGGAAATCGGTCGAAGACCTTACTATGGAGTATGAGGTTCGCGGAGACACAGTCCACTGATGGGCTGCAGGGAGTTCTCTGTACGTACAGTTCGGGTATCCGACAGAAGGGGCCCCCTTTTTTCCGCACATCCGTGTCTCTGCCCCTCGCTCGCTAGCGAGGCTTCGCAATCCGATAAGATTCCTGATCAGGCTGTTCCATCTTCATCTCCTGCACACTGGTGGCACATTTGACAAGACCAGGATACGCCACAAGGCTCCATATGTCTGGCTGGGTTCATGTTGACTGGCCAAGTCCCGCAAAGGGACCAGCCTCGACATCAGTTCATCATGGCAGTTTTGTCGCCGTTCGCTTCCACAGTCGAGTCTATTACGAAACGTCGCTGTAAGCGGCGGTACCGGGCAGCCTGGTCGGCCGGAGAGGGCGACCATATTTCTTAAGCCTGGATCGTCCGTCGATATCAGGTTTGTTCTTTCTCGCTCTCAGTCTGCCATTGATTTCTGCATTCACTCTTTTGATATCGTTGGCGCCATTGGCGTCGTCCGTTCGTTTTTTTCTTTTTACATTGACGCAAGTCAGCGTCGTCCGCTCGTTTGGTACGGAATTCTCCCTTTCTTTGGTTGCCGTCACTTTGAAGAATGGCACGCGCTTCAGCATGGCTGGTGCTGCTGTTAGCAGCCTTCTTCCAAGCCATGCCAGAAGTCTCAGCAGGTCCTCCTGGAAGACCCGGTGCCGCAGCTCCCGCACCTCCTGCCCATCAACCTGCTCCTGCCCCGGCCCCAGCTCCAGCTCCAGCGCCTGCACGCAATCCCGTCAATCCCAGCAATCCTGAAACTACTTCCAATGCGGTGGCGCCACCTTCACGTCCTTCCCAGCCTGCTCGAGTCTCGTATTCTGGCGCAAAAATCGTTGGGACCGCCCAGTTGCCAGCATCCTTGTCAACCGTTGTATTCCCACAGGGCGCGGCGAGCACTGGCATTCCCAAACATAGCGGATCTCTAGGAATCGACGGGCTACCTCAGAGCAAGACTAACGGTAAATCGCTGCTCGGCACGCTTTGGGCGCCCAAATACGACAGATATATTGGAGACGCACCAGGACAATGCAATTCCACTGTGGCACCATCGGGAGGGTTTCCTTGGGGAGACCGAACAGCAAGCAACACCAATCCGTATACATCGGCCCCTGTCACCGGAGTTGTTCGCTCGTATACTTTCGAGATTTCGCGAGGCTATCTAGCTCCCGATGGTGTTGAATTGGAGGTCTTGTATGTTAACGGCGCATACCCCGGTCCTACCATCGAAGCCAATTGGGGGGATACTATCCAGGTCACGGTCACGAATAGCATTACAGGACCCGAGGAAGGCACAGCCCTCCACTGGCACGGGCTGTTGCAACAAGCGTCTCCGTTCGAAGATGGTGTACCTGGCATCACTCAATGCCCTGTTGCCCCTGGACAAACCTTCACCTACACCTTTAACGCCGATCTTTACGGAACGTCTTGGTATCACTCTCACTACAGTGCGCAGTCTGCTGGCGGAGTCCTCGGTGCGATCATCATTCACGGACCCCAGAACGCTGTATATGACGAGGATCTTGGACCGGTCATCTTGTCAGATTACTTCCACGAGGACTACAACACACTGGTCGCGGATGTTATGAGCACAGATCTCTCTAAGATCGGTCCATTCTCGGACAACAATCTCATCAATGGCAAGGGATTCTATGACTGCTCCTCAATGGAAGACAACTCGACGTGCACCCCCAACGCAGGTCTGTCGAAATTCCAATTTAACTCTGGGGAATCTTATCGGCTGCGGCTTATCAATGCTGGCGCGGCAGCCACACAGCTTTTCAGTATCGACAACCACACTCTTACTGTGATTGCGTATGATTTCGTCCCCATTCAGCCATATACCACCGATGTGGTTACCCTTGGGGTGGGCCAACGCGCGGACGTGATCGTTCATGCCACCGCATCCCCCAGTTCCGCGGTTTGGATGAGATCTATAATCCCTCCGCGTTGCGGGCGTACCCAGCAGCCTGTGGGTCTTGGAATCGTCTACTATCAGAACGCGAACACGACTTCCGAACCGACCTCACAGGCCTGGCCCATCGATGAAACACAGTGTGCCAATGACCCACTAAGCCAGACTGTCCCATATGTACCCATTACGCCACCACACTCAAGCACGACCGTCCAGGTCGACCTTAACTTTGAAATCAACGCCACAGGGCACTTCTTATGGACTATGGACGGCTCTACTTTCCGCACCGATTACAACGATCCTATTCTCCCGCTCGCAATTGCTGGTAACGACAGCTTTCCCGAGGAATGGAATGTGTACAACTTTGGTAGCAACACGAGCTTCACCATAGTCGTCAATAACGACAGCCCTCTCGTGCATCCCATGCATATTCATGGCCACAACATGTTTGTTTTGAACGAAGGGAATGGGCGGTGGGACGGTAGCGTCGTCAACCCTTCTAACCCGATGAGACGGGATGTTGTCCAGCTTCGACCAGGTGGATACATGGCATTTCAACTAAACGCCGACAACCCAGGCGTGTGGCCTTTCCACTGCCACATTGCATGGCATGTTAGCGCTGGTCTCTACATGAACATCCTGGTAAGTGAGACTCGGATCCTTGTTCCTAGCGTGTTGGCTTACTGTTTCTATAGGAGAGGACCGACCTTCTTCCAGCAGTCGAGGTTCCTTCCAGCGTGAGCAATCTGTGCAACGCATGGTCCGCCTTTACGGCCGAGGGTCCCATTGATCAGATCGACTCGGGCCTTAGGAAGCGAAGCCACAGCCACCACCTCGGACGACACAAACACGCAAACATTGTTCGAAGGACGCTGTAAAGAAATGGAACCACGAAGCAGATGGAGATCAGTCCGAGATGCGGTGAAGGACCGCAGGGAACCAAGAGGTCTTTGGTTCCAGCGAATATATCAGTCATGGACGACTAGAGGTGGAGTCATCACATAACAGGCTGATGGGCACGTAAGTAATGGAACGGGCACGCAACATAATACTTACTTTTCAAGGGTTTCAAAGCGGAAACAAAATATATTTTATCAATTACGGGCCATCGCGCATGATACGTACCTAGTACATGTGTAATTGTTCAATTTAGCCCTTTTGTCCTAACCAGGCACAAACATTCTCTTTTTCCCTTCATGTTCTTTTCTTCTTTGGTACAATGTAATACGCCGTACGGCAAGCTGAATGGAAAAACAAGTGGCACAAGTTTTGGCGGAGCTTGTGGCTCGCACCAATTCGCACTAAGCAGAATCAAGCACTTTAAGCTCCAAAACAGGGTTAGGCTCTGTTTCCATGCGAGCGGAGCTGAGACAAGCGAGCGAGCGAAAAGAGACCGTGACATGAACTATGTACGAAGTGGCCTTGCGGCTCGCATGATTCATAGCCTCGTCGCGGAAAGGAGAGCGGGCGCTACCTCTGCGAAAATGGCTCGTCCGTCATATGTCTTGCTTGCATGTTGCTCAGTATACAACAAGACACCAAGAAAATCTAACACAAGTAGTTGGTTGATTAGTATAAATGGGTCGCAACCGTCGAAGCACACACTCACTATCGATGTCAGCGCCATCTGGAGAGCAGAACCCGACCATAAAAGTATCGCAGAGCGCAACATCGAGAAATTTCCAAATTACTGTCCGTCATCTGGACTCTTTTCTGTTCAAGTCCAATCCCTTCACCCAACCATGGTCTTCTTCTCCGCCGCGGCTGCCGTTCTGGCCTTGTTCTCCGCCGCCATTGCTGTCCCTCTGATCAAGGGCGAGAAGCGCCAAGCGGTTGACGGCACATTCGGCCTCAGCGTCGGCGATCAAGGCCTCTTCGACCTCGACGAAATCCAGACCTTCAAATTCTCGTACGCCAACAACTCGGCATACTTCGGCCAGATCAAGTACCAACAGTACTCGGAGCCGCTGGTCATGTCTGGGGCCAAAGTCGCGGGAGACACCGAGGGCGGCTTGACCTTCCTGTCCATCCACTCGGCCCCCACGGGTTGGCAGAACGGCTACATCCAGCCGAACAAGACGGGTCCTTTCCAGTTCAGCATCGCTCATGCCGGCGGAAACATACCCGCCGACGCCGTTTCCACGGGCTTCTCCTTCCGCGACAGTGGCGGGCCACTGTTGTGGAATGGCGAGAACAAGTTCTGGGCCTGTCAGAATCCCGAACTGCAGGCCTTGAGTACTTATCAGATTTGGTGGAAGAGCGCGGGCGAGTTTCCCCTGGGAGTCGATTGTAAAGGTCCCATTGGCGCCGATATGATTGATGGGTGCCAGCGTGGCAACTAGAGTTCAGTCAGGGCTAGGTATCGCTGCGCCTGCATTGCACGGAAGTTTCACTTCTGTTACGTGTCGGACGCGGGTTGTTGCTGTTTGCATCTTTGCCCGAGTTCATTTATGTTACATATCATCCTAGGTGGAAGATGTTCACTTGTCAATGTTATTATGTTGAGAGATGCGAGCGTTAGTGGATATTTCCAAATAATTTAGCAAGTGGAATAATAGAATCAGGGGAAAACGATGAATTGTATTTTGCCTACCACTGCGACAAAAGCCATCATACTGTCAGGCCTGTGTAAACAATCACCGGGGAAAAACCCCTGAGAAAAAAAAAGACTGGAGTCCCCATTACCTGTTCACTTACCTTTTCACTTACCTTTTGTTGCCGGGGTCAGTAGTAGCCTGCTACCGCCACCCTTTCTTGCCCATTCGCTTCTGGCCGGATCAATCCATCACTTACCTGTTCTTTGGAACTTGGATTCCCTGAGGTGTTTGTTCGACGATCGGCAAAAGGCCCCAGAGTTTTACTTGCGGGAATAGGAGTAGTGGCTGTCAGCTTCGGATACTGCGCCGCGACGACCATAGTTTTCAGAGTCACGGGAAGACGAGTAGGAGGTTGAAGAGGAGAAGTCGTAGCGAGAAGACGAGCTAGACTCAGAGTATGACCTAGAGCCTGACGAGGAGCCATAGTACTTGCCAGACGACGAGACAGAGCCAGACGAGGAGCCATAGTACTTGCAAGACGACGAGCCGGAGCCAGAGTTAGCATACAACCTTGAGGCGGCCGAGGCGTTAGTCCACTCGCTGAACGACGGGGCAGAGTCATAGTTCTTGCTGGACGATGAGCCAGAACCGGACGATGAGTCAGAACCAGACGAGGAGTCATAGTACTTGCTGGACGATGAACCGGAGCCAGAGTTAGCATACAACCTTGAGGCGGCCGAGGCGTTAGTCCACTCACTGAACGACGGGGTCGAGTCATAGTACTTGCTAGATGACGAGCCGGAGCCAGATGAGTAGTCGTAGCACCTGCTCGAAGACGACCCGTAGTACGAATCGGAAGGCATTGTCAGTGTGTGATAGGAAACGGGATTTTGGTATGGGGGGTGAGGGCGTTGAGGCCTTCGCCTTTGAGGCTGAGAAGTTCAGATTGAAAAGGGAGCAGATGATCTTGAGATAGCTGAGGGTTTTGATCAGTTGCCTTTCCCGCCTCAAAAGTGAAGAAGTTTGTTGGTTGGTTGGTATGGGGAGAAGCTTTTCGAGGCAGGAGAGCTTTGAGATATTTATAGCTTTTGGGTTTCGGTCCCACGGTAAGGGACAGTCTCGTACACAAAGGGTTAATGCCTCGAAGGAGGCAGTGGCAGACGACGTGATTGAAAACTCATAATATTCAATCATTCCGTACAAAGCCCACATTAACGAAACAAAGGATCGAGTACGCTTTGTCCATCAATGACTCTTTGTTGGCCTTCTCGACAGTGTTCAAGAGACTCATTCTGATAACATGAGGCTTCGAACAAAAAGCGTTCTGCTGCACTTCACTCGTGCTTTGAAGGAATTCTTTTGTCTCACTACGAAAATCAGCATCAGTCCAGGTCCTAGCGAGGACAAACCTCGTGTCAGAGCAAAGCCTGCGGATGTACGCAAGTCTGGTTCCGAGAGCGGCAGCGAGACTGAGTTTGAACATACAGAAACATGGCAAGTTGAAAGCTTCTGATTGTGGTAGAAAATATGTACGAGGTACGGAGTGTGAAAGACGGAAGTCTTTCAATTAACGCGTGTCACGTGTGTTCGTGACGCGGAACACGTCTCTTTCTGTCTTGGCATTTTGGCGTTTGGGTGCGCCACATTGGGGAACCAACATGCCGCCGAGCCATATCAAACAGCAGTCCTGCCTTGCTCCTGTCACTTTTCCTCTGGTCGAGTGTAGTATGTATTTGTCATGTCCAATATTGCCTGGTCGATCACCAGCACCAAGTGTAAGACCAAGTCCGCATCTTCAGCGGCAAGGAAGCGACAACGACTACATGACACAGACGACGCGTTCAGCAGTCGACCCTCGAAGAGCCAACAGACTCTGACCCAAGCTCAATGGGTCACAAGCTTCCCTCCGAGTCATGAAGAAGGCGATATGCATTACCTAGACGACGGACAAATACAAACCGCGCTACCAAGAAAGCACCAACGAAGTGTGCAGAAGCCTAATTCTACCTTGACCCAGATGGATTTCTTCAATTTTCTCCCACGAGACTACGCAGACGTTGATGACACTATGCTTGGCTTTGCGGAGGGAGAGGACGGCGGCTGCGTTGTTCCCCAACTCGACGGAACATACGACAGCCCCAGAAAGCCTCGGAGGCGCAAAGCAACCACGAACACAGGGAATCCGTCAACGAAGCAGAAGAACGCGCCTCCAAACGGAGCCAGTCAAGCAGATCACAAGCGTAGCAAGAGGAAGAGGGAGATTGGGTCCACCGGAGTAGAAAACGCAGAGTCATCCGGGAGAAGGACTTCTAAGCGCCTGGCAGCGAAGAATGAAGTCCTCTCCGATCCCGTGAACAACTTCGACTACTTTGCTGAAGCATTGGCGAATCAGGCAGCAGACATTAAATACAATACTGCAAATGAGACATTCAACTACCCTTTGGAAATCAAGAACTCGATAGAGGGCGAGGACGACGTTGCGCTGGACCCATTGTCTGGAAGTCGATACTCTGTCCTGCCGCAAACGCCAAAAAAGAACACGACCGTTGTTCTCTCAAGTCAATCTCCTGAGAGCTTGTGTGCGAGCACGCACAAAGACAAAAGAAAGGCAAACGAAACCCCTTCTCGAAGTCACCGACCACCTTTGGCTGAGCGACCGGCCAACATTCCTGTGGAAGCCACTTCAACTAGGACGGCAGGGAAGGGACGATGGGCTCTAAGCCATCATTCGCCAAAGAGGAAGGTAGTTGTCCTGAAGCTTCCGAAGCAGAAGCGGTGTCGACGCCCCGCACGTACTGAGCATTCTCAAGGAAATTCGTGGTCAATTCCTTCATCCTCATCTGAATTGGTAAGAAGTGCCGCCACGGCTGTACAACCACACACAACTCCATGTACAGCTCCAGAGAGTTTTGAAATTCCAGCCACAAGCCAAGGACAGGGAAGTGGACCAACCTCTGTGATCGCCAGGAGTCAGGACAATCTAAATCTGAGTCCCGCTTTTACTAGCAGAAGTAGTGATATAAGGGCAGAAGGTGTGGTGGATTCTGCACAGCAAGCAAATCGAGGCGTCATTGTCCGAGACTTTGCTGTCGCTCCTGCTACGCCAGTCAAGTCCGCTCTTCCAGGTCGTGATTGCCACATAATATCACCATCCCCCATCCCTGGAGAGATACAAGACGCAAAAGAGCCTATAAACAAATCTTTGCAGGGAAGTTGTGAGGATGCGGATTTCGGATCGCCAGTTGCAAATGACACGCAGTTCAATATCAGAATCCAGCACCGTATGTCATCCCCTAATCCACCAGGGCATTCGCCTGAGCAGTCAGAAGCTGGACTCAGCGCTGTTCTGCCCTCGACTCGGTCGCCAGTTAGTTGCGAATGTGCCGGCAGAGACAATGAAGGCCCATACTCCGAGCTCCCGGACCTTGAGACATTGCGCTCCCCAGAATCACCCCCACCGCTTCCCACACTGGCAGATAGATCTAGCGCAGACACAGAGGGCGAGGCGTTTGAAGTGGACAACGATGCAGACGGAGTACCCTTGCCGAAGCCTACCTTTATACATCCGTCGAGCATTCACAGGAGGATGATACAGGTGCCACTGAACGACACCTTGCACACCTCATCTCCGCCTTCCCTCTCGATGGAAAGACTAATCACGCAAAGCTCCGTTCATCCTGCGTCAATGCCTCATCCCTCACAGATATCGACCCAAGAGGGCACCCAAGGGTTTCTCCCCCAATCGTCCTTCACACAACAGCCTCGAGAAGCCAAGCTTGAAGGCCAATCCGACAAAATCACGATCAAAGACTCTTCTTCTAGTATTCCACTCAGTCAAATCCCCCATCATGTCGGAGAGGACCAATCTGAATTGAATGACATTATCGGCCCAGCTCAAGAATTTGCTTCTGAGGATGATCTTGATCTTGATCTTGATCCGCCTTCACTCCCACCTCAACCATGCCGACCCCAGCCGGCACCTCTTCAACACAGCATTGAACAAATCACCGGCAGCGAAAACAGACCAGCGACAGCGACACATACAAAAGACAGCCACACTCCCGAACATCACCCCCCTCGGTTCTGCTCGCAACCCAACGACTTCCAACCGGACCTCAACTCCACTCCTGTTTGCACCTCTGAACTCTTCCTCCCATCCTCACCAGACCGCCCGCCACCATTGGAGAGGGAATACTCACCAATTCACGGATTCGACAACGATACCCAATCGAATTTCACACAGAATGGACACGTCACGGCTGCGTATATCCATCGTCAGCGCGAAGCAGGCATATTCCCGAAATGGTTCGTTCCCACGCCATATCAGGTCCCAGGCTATACGAGAAGGAAATAGATTTGATTTCGTAATACCTGGGTGGGGACTTGGTGTTCCTATCGACCGTTTGAGCTCCTGGGTACTCTGGCGGTCCTGGAATGATCCCGTTTCTATGGGTCTTGACTTGCGTGAAGTGGTTTAGTTTCAGGCAGTGAAGGCATCCTATAAAGATATGGATTGTTGCTTGCTTGACCGAATCCGATATTATCAGTTGTCGCGATTCGAGTATGGCAGTTGGAAAAGAAGCGCGTTGCGTTGCGTTGTATGGGCCGCAGGATACAAGTATTAAGCCAGGAACCTAATGGCCGGACTCTGTTGAATTACGAAATGAAATATCTTTAACCGATTTTCTTCTCTATCACGCTGTCCTATCTCCTGAAAAGCCTCAATGCTTCAATCTCGCCCGTGTCCTCCTCGTCTGCCTGTATGCCCTCAACTCCGTCGTCATCACTCCCCCTTTCTCTCTCAT